TTCTACGGATAGCTTACTGCGCATGCACTGGGACTGCCCAACACTGAGAAGGCGTAGTGTCGTTGGCGGGAAAGCAGCAATGAAGCAGCAATGAAGCAGCCGTTACGAGGTACGTTATACATATTTAATTATAATGGCATTTAATAATGGTGAAGGTGCCGTAAAAAAGCGTAGGATCCGTAGATTTAATTATGCATGGGTAGATAATGACAGTTATAAAGTATGGTTAAAAACTACTGTAGATAGAAGTAGAACGCTTTGTATCGCTTGTAACAAAACTATCAGATGTAGCAAATCCGATGTAGACAGTCATGAAAAAACAAATGTACACCGTAGTAAATTCGCTCGATATAAATGATAGCAATAATGACAATAATAATAATAATAATGTTACCGCGAGTAGCTTACTGCATATAGACAAAGTGAAACGAGCTGAAATTAAATTATCTGTATTTTTCGCTAAACATAATGCAGCATTTTGTACCATAGACCATTTAATACCGTTAATAAAAGATATTTGTACTGAACCCGAAGTTGTACAGGATCTTTTACTTGCTCGACATAAGTGTGCAAAAATTGTCAAAAATGTAATTGCTAAACGCAAAATTGAGAACATAATTGAGAACATGATTTTAATTGATGAAAGTACTGATATTTCCGATACAAAATTAATGTGCGTGCTGGTGAGATATGTATCACCATTAGATGGTAGCATTGTAACTCAGTTATTAGAATTATTACAATTAGATGCTACCGATTATTCCGCGAGTAAAATTTTTCAAATTTTCAAAAATTCTTTAGAGGAAAAAGTAATTCCCATTAAAAATATTATTGGAATGACGAATGATAATGCGCCAGTTAGGATCAGCCGTAATAATTCATTTATGCCGCATTTGAAAGTAGAAGTTCTAGAATTAATTACCATAAATTGTATTTGCCATTCTTCCGCTCTTATAGCTAGTCACTCTTGTGACCAATTACTTTCGGGTTGTAAAAAGTTAATTAGAGGAGTTGCCACTTATATTTCGGGCAGTGCAAAGAGATGTGCAATTTTGGTTGAATTCCAGGATTTTTTTGAAGTTCAGCGATTAAAAATTTTTAAATTATCAAATACTAGACGGCTTTGCCTCCACAAATGTATTATTAGATTCTTAGATAATTGGGACGTTTTAAAAAATTATTTCATTTTAGCAGCAGTAGAAGAGAAATCTAGTTTCGCGGAAAGTATTTTGGATTATTTTAACGACCCCGCGATTAAAGGCTATATACTTTTTCTTAAATATTCTTTACATTACAGCTTTATATGATGAAGGTAGACAAAAAATTAAAGATTTAACTTTTATTGCCAAACGTGTAAGTAATGTAATCAATGTAACAGAACTAGCTTTTGAATGGCGAATTTTACCATCGTCTTTTGATGACGACGATAAAAAAGAATTAATTGGTTTAACTTTACATAAAATGTGGAAACGTATTTTAGATGTTACAAATTTCGATGGGGAAAAGATGTTTCCAAATTTAATATATTTACATAGAGCTTCTATTTATTTTATTTTACATTATTTGTGCAATATTCTTTTAGTTCCTTTTATTATTATTATTTTGTTATTTATTATTTTATAATGCTATTGTGCCAAAGACAAATTGTGATATTTTAAGTTATTTTAAAAATTACATTTATTTATACTGTTATATTATTTTATAAATTCTATTATAAATTGTTTTTCAGTTTTATTCTTGTTGAATATTATGAATGTAATTTTTGTTTTATGAATACTGATAAGGTTTTGGCAGTTTTCCTTATCCTAGCAACAAATGTTGGTATTCTTTTATTGATTCTATCCAATAAAATATTTTATTTTTATATTATATATTTTGCGTACAGTTATTTTATTACCCTTCCTTTACATCTGCTCCTCAAATATGAAAATATGTATATAATCTAATCTTATCCAACCTATACATTCATATTTCACAACCAAATTATACAAATTTTTGAAAAATAATGAGGAGTGATTAAGGTACCCCATTTTATTGAAATTTGTACTTCACTGAGACTAAAATTGCTGCGCATGCGCGAAAAAACCCGTCCAATATCTCATCACTGATCATAGATAGGATTTGACGGTGTCATCACTGCCCACATCCTAAATTCCCTAGACCGCGGATGGTAAACGCAACACTAATAAACTTGTCGAGCATCAACGAACATTTACTCGTATACGGTTGTACACACTGTCAGATTAAGAATTTCTTTTGAAATCAGCTACAATGCTAGGATTCCCGTAAATATTTTGTGATACGAAAGTGAGGGGATTCTTCACATTTGAACAACTCCACATATTGTCAAAAATTCTTCAACACGATTATAAGCTGTGATTTTTTGTTCTTTAATTATTTTGCAACTTATGCATTATATAATATAAAACACAGGATAATAATTTCACGTAATTTTGAGATATTTAGATATATTAAAAGTGATATAAATTTTATATGGGTATAAATTTCACTTTTATTGCGTTATTTTATCAAAATATAATATAATTTTATATTTAAACGATAATAATATATTGAAGCTTCATCATTTCTCAAAATAAATTTCTAATATTTAGATAGTTATTTATGGAGATATTAATATAAATAAATGTTTGATAAATTTTTATAAAAAAAATGTATTTAATTGATACGTAACAGTGAAAATTTTGTTGGCTTATATTATTTACAACTAAGGTAACTTTGATCGCTTTGTCTCCGATGTAAATAAGTTAATGGCACAACAAGACGACTATCTTTACTTTTATAATATTCATTAAAATCTAATCTTACACTTAATAATTGTAAAGAGACATCTTCAGCTGATGCAAGCATTATGAGGAATTTCTTTACCCTATCCTGTAAACAAAAATTATAATACAGTAAGTTCTGAAAATGTCAACTTCAGTTTACTTATAATAATCATTAAACATTACCTGATAGGTCCTTGAAAGTAGTCTAAGCTGAATTGAAAGTGTATTCAAATATTTGGAAAAACCAGCTTGACGTTTAGCAATGTCTGCATTATCTGTACCCGAAAAATCTAGCTGACTTGGTGATGTGTATGTTATATTCATTGAATTGTTATCTCTCAATCGTGCCTCATATTCTAGCGTAGCACGTGTAAGAAATGTTTCTTCTAGGTTTTGTAAATCCAAGATTGGACCATAAACAGAACGTAAATGGTCCATAAGTTCCTGTTAAAAATATTTTGAATGAAAATCTATGTGTATTTGTTTAATCTAAGTTTGCTTGAAAATTACTAACAATATGCGAAGATTGTAATAAATAAATTAGTATACATATATGTACACATACTTACTTGGGATTTTTCATCAAGCAAAGTGCCACGCCTTACTGCATCTATAAAATGGTTATGTGATGTAATTATGTCATCTAGAGATGCTGCTTGTCCTAACTGTTTTGCAAATGCATCCCAAGAACACTCAATTACCTGAAAATTTTGTAACCTGTTTATTTTCCGTTGCAATATTTTAGTATGTTAACAACGTATTATTGTTTATAATTATATTGTATTTAACATGTTCTTTATTAATATGAAAGAATATTGTTAAAATTTTTGATCAAAGTAAAAATGTTTATTTGTAGTAAAATATGTGTAGTAATTTATGTGAATTTTTAATCTTACCTCAAATAAAAAAAAATATTGCATTTGATGAACCAAATGAACCATGCTGCTAGTGATTAAATGGATATGAGTTTGAATTGATAATACTTCTGGCATCTTACTAAACATTTTAGCTGATGTTATTTGATGTTTCCAAATTGTAGATAATATAGATTCCATTCTTTTAGCTCTCCATAAAGCAAAAAATACAGTTTGATATGTTTGCCTACATGGTTCTAAAATCTATATAAATAAATTAGTTTAATTACACAAGTAATTTCCAAGCGTTTATAAAGATTTAAAAACTATACAAAAGGCATCTTTTGAAATATAAGATATATCTCTTAATTTGTTAATATAAATATAATTTTATTAAAGGATAAAATTAAGCAACATTATAGAGAAAACGTTTAAAACAGTAAATAAAGAAGATAAATTATTAATGTAACTTAATTTGTAACTGTATATTTGTAAAATGAAAAGTTCTTAAATTATTTATATTTAATAATAGTTAAAAAGTATTTTATATACAACTTTACATATTACAGTTCGTAATATGTAAATTACTCAGTACAGTAATAGTTACTTCTAAAATTAATAATCTATTCATTTTTTAAAAGTTCTGATAAAGATATAAATGTAAATACATATAATATTCAAGAAATTTAATTTAAATAAATATTCTTTTTTTTTACATACCGTGCCAATGGGACCACCTACATTATAATCAAGAATAAAAACATCCCACCCCCTTTCATTTTCTGAAGGCGCTAATAACCTTACATCGAGCCTCCTCTGTATATCCAAATCATCTATTTTCGTAGCGGTAGCTCTTATTCCTGTTTCCAGAATAGAAGATATATTATGTGGATATAAAGAACTGGCTGGTTTATCTAATTCTGGCCTAAGAACAAAATAAAATTAAAAATAATTTTTTGCATACATATTATGATATTTAAAATACTAGATCACCAGAAAATTAATTTATCATATCACAGTTTTAAACTGATTTCAAACGTTTATATTTAAAGTAAATGATTTTGCAAATTTCTTATGAATAAGTATTAAATGTTACTTACTCTAATAAGTGCATTAGATGTTGGATAAAATGTCCTTGCCCCAGTAAAAGATAACCCTTGATTGCATGCAAATGTTCCATTAAATGGTACTGTTTTGTTAACACTTCTACAACTCTGGTTGAAGTATCCTTATATGCTGTGTCCATCATTGTTTGCAACCGACCATCAGGATCCATATCAAAAAGAACATCAACTGCAAGAAAAATAAGTATTATTGGAAAATATGTATATATGCTCTTCCACTGATATAAATGTTATAAAAAATAATTACCTTTATATTCTTCACTAAAATTTTTAAACATTTCTGTATGCTTTCCCTGCCATGGGGTAAAATCTTTACATACTTCACGTAAAAAATTAATACTCTTTCCAGTTCCTAAAATTTTTTTAGCTTGCATTTTTGTGATAAAAGATGGTAACATACTGTTACGAACTTGATACTTCTCATGCCACATTCTATCCCCAGTAATGTCAGCACAAGTTTCAATGAAAAATTCTCTATATGGATCATCTAATTCACCATCGGCGATCCATCTTATTAACATATTGTATAAAGGTTCACAAACACTTTCCAAAATTCTTTTGACTAATTTTTTTACACTAGCATCACCATGATTACTAAATTCATATACTGCAGAAGCTAGTGCACCACCTTTCTGTCCTTGGCAAGTTTTTACTATACTTGCTAGCCATTTTAAAGTTTCTAAAGGATCATATGCCCAGAGGTGTAAATGGGACAATGTCACTCTGTATAATCCTGACTGTGACTGAACTCTATTACATATTTAAATACATCACTTACAATACTCTGATATAAATAATTATGTGTATTTCTACAATAAGTTACAATTAATACCTGTTTACTTCTTCCTGAATAAGTGCTATAAATCTGTAATATTCAGATAATTCAGAATGTAATGCTGCAACAAAGCTATCAGCCACCTGACCACTTGAAGCAGCTGACATTCTTTCTAATCCTTTTTGTACTATGTTGTGTAAGTAACCTAGTTCACTCAATCTTAATGTTGCTTGTTTTCTTGGTCTATCAATGCTAATCATTGGGTCAATTTGGAAACCATAACTGGAATCCAATTTTAGGATTTTTCCTTCAATACCTTGGAAGGAATATATGAGATCTTGTACTAATGCATCTTCTGAAATATATTCTTCACCATATATTTTGTAAGAGTTTGTTAAATAATCTCTTGTTGTTTTGTCTGCATTATTTATAGATACAATTTGTGATGGTGCATAGATTTCTGATGTTTGGCCTAAATGTGACAATTAAAATATGTCATGTAATAAACACATTAAATAATAGGAACTAAAACATTAATATAAAAAGTTTATATTATGGTATACCATAGGATGGTTTACAATATGTTATTTACCACTGGTGGATGCAGAAGATGAACATGAACCCAATTTTAAATCAGGTACAGAGAAAACTCTTTCTCTTAATTGTTCTGCTGACTGGCACATATTCAATAGAAATATAAGAATTCGTGCTCTGTTCTTTAATGGCTATAAAGCAAATAAAAGTTTGTTTTTATAAATGGATTTGTACATGTAATTAACTTTTTAATAAAATACTACATTATCACATAATATGTAACTGTTTCAAATATATTAGTATAGATTCTAATATATACTTATTAATATATTATAAAATATTTTTTTTAATAATAGTTTTAATGTTAACAAGTAAATGTTAGCTCAAACAATTCTTAATCACAATTTATTATATTAAATTTATATCATACCCCAGTTCTTAGTTCATTGTATAATTTATCAAATTGTACAGCATCACATATTTGTAATTTCTCTTTTATCTGACTGGCTACAGTAATTTCATCCTCACGTAATGTTTCTATTCCTTGTGTTGATGATAATAATCCAAGTGAAAAACGCATCCATTTTCTAACTATTTCTAAAATAATGATTTAAAAAATTATTTAGAAGGATGTTAAAATTTAAATAATTTCTTTCTACAACTTAAAGTACATTTACATTCTTCTATTTTTGTTATATCAATTATGTTCTTATAAAATCAATTCTAAAATTTAAAACAATGTTTAAACATTGTACAATCTTATTACTGATAATTATCTACATAAAATTGTTTCATTTTATACTTTCATTTGAAATATTCCAATTTTGTAACACTAAATATATTATAAATTCTGGCAATTTTTACTTTAAATTTAAACAAGAAATATTATTATAAACATGAATATGTATCTGTAATAGCTTGTGTAAAATATTTGTGATAAGTTCAGATAGCCCTTTATTTTTAAATGAAATTAATTTTGTTCAGATTATATTGTAGTGTTTCTCAAGACCAATTTATCAATTTTTGATTTAAACATTTAATTTTAAGTAGCTTTTAAAATATACATTTTTTATATTTGCAATTTAGCAATTCTTGTTAAAATATCTAGGAAAAATAACAAAAATAATTTGTCCTCGTCAGAAAGTATGCCTCCTTATAATATATAATTTTCACACATACAATTTCTTGTATCTCCAATATGTTATAAAGTAATGGACTGTTCAAACTTATTTCAGATATCCTGTATAAACAACACAAATACAATGTATTAGAATATTTATATGTCAAAAAATAAATATTATATATTAATAGCCAAAGTTACTGAATACTATCAATCCATTTTAAAATCCAAATATTATTGCTATTTGTTGACACAAAGCAAATCAAGTTAATCATAATAAATTAATACATTTATTTCTTTAATATGCAACAAAATTTCATATATTTATAAGGTGTCAAATGATAATGAAATTATCTTTCCTTTTTTAGACTATATATTTGAAATTATGGTTGGTTAGTGTAAATTTTTTTAAAAATTAAAAATAAAAATTATAAATTACCTGGTTTTTGTTCTCCACAAAGTGAAATGATCATTTTTTGAACTAAATTACCTACAGTTTCTGCTTCTATCATGTTTGTATTTAATATTTTTTCCAAATATCATAAACAATTCAACCTGATTCTTATTTGACTCGAATAAAGTTTAAATACAAGCTAATACAAACTTATAATATTTAACATCAACGTTCAAATTACAAGAAATAAAAATGACACTATTCTATCATTCGTTTTACGAAAGATCATACTCAAATTGCGCATTACGGCTAACTTCAGTAAGTTCCTCATCAGTCAGTATAGTCACAAATAAACCTCTTTCACAATTTGGCTATATACAGGGTGAACAAAAATACGCGAATAAGCAGATGTTTATATATGGATCGTTTATTTTCAAAGTGGTGTAAGTCGATTTTCATTTACTTTGAGAAAAGTACAGGTTGGCATAAATGTTAATGAAAAAATATAGGTTAATTATATCAAGATTGGCAATTCAGCAGTTTTTTGTAATTTGATTATACAAATTTGTTTTAGGTGACTTAACTAAAATAATGTATATTCGTGCAAATGGACTTGCATCACTTTCGAAATAATATATAATAAAATTCACTACTTTTAAAATTTTTGAAAAGTAGCAAACATTAAAATGGAATTATTTTTGTTTTCAACTATTCTTTAAATTAGTTTTCAAGGTTTATGTTTTAATGAATTAGAAAGAATATACATATATTCAAATAGTCTTATTCATAAAATGCTAAATATAATCAACTTAACAGTTTATACAGAAAATAAATACATTAACAAGAGGCACTTAATTTAATAACAATCAGTCATAAATTTTCTATTATTTTATAGTACATGATATAATAATGTAGTAATATTTTTCTTAGCTCAATAAATAATATTCATTTTACCTTCAATCTCCTCTTTCCCTCCCCTTTTTTTTATAACTATTCAGTAGAACGATTATACAAAATTGCTTATTATTATACTAATTTAATTCTAAATATATTACAAAACATCTTAATATTGTAGTTGTATACATATCGAAATTAAGAAATTCAGCATTTATACAGTTAAAGTAACTTATGTTTCATTGTGACAGGATTGTACAAAACATTTAGTTTATCATTAATATAAAACTAAGATAGTATTTCAGTATACTTGAGATTGTAATATAGCTTTTTGTAATAACATACAAAAAGTTTCATTAACTTCTTGACATAAAATATCTGCAGATTTATCCCCTAGTGCTGCTTGTGCAGAATTAACTCTACCAAGTTGTAACAATAAACCAGTTGTATCTTCAGCTAGTGGTGGAAAAGCTAAACATATACGGGTCAATGCTGGTAGTACTGGCATAAATAATATTACTCTGTCTTTTGCAGACAATACTCCCAAAAGGGTTATTAAAGTATTAATTGCTAAACGAGAAACGCTTAAAGCTTTTGGTAGAGCATATTGAATTGCAAGATGTGAAGCCAAATCTACAGCAAAGATTTGTTTTTCTGGTTCTGGCTGTGACAATAATTCAGGAATCCAGTCAAGACAAATGTGCATTGATGGAATACCAGTAACCGTAATGGGTAATAATTCTCTTGGATATCCCTATGTACAAAAACAGTAATATATATATTCAAAATTTCGATATATAATATATACAACTTTCATTTTGTCAATAGAATTAAATTATAATATACATACTTGAAAATGAACCAATTTAGCTAAAGATGGATCTGCTATGAAAACTTGATGTAAATATGAGCAGATAATGCTTTGAATTTCTCTTAATGACCACATTTGTCCAGGTGTTTCTCTATCTTCTTCTGTTTCTAAACATGCTTCTAATAATATTTGAACAGCCGCACTTTCTTGACCTGCGACTAAAGCAGTTCTTAGATCTTCCCTTTCAGTTTCACTTGACAGTTGACCAACTTTCTCAGTTAATGGTTTATCTTGTATATGTCGAGATAACTGAGATCGAGAAGCTGCTAACGCAGCTTGTAAAATTCTAAAAGTATTTGTTATAAAATAGTAACTTTCAGTAATTAAATAAATTTCAAATAATTAAAAGTTTACCTTAAAATGACCGATAAAATTGGAGCACATCTAAAAACTCTTGTATCACACCTCAATACTTGTAATGGATCTAATACAATATTTTCTTGTGTTAAGAAAACATTTTTCACTAAAGAATTCTCTATTAACAATGCATTTATTGATAAAACCCATAAACATCTGGGTAAAACTGTGTTAAGCCTAAGCCATACTTGTTTGTATAATTCTGAAATAATAAATTAATATTTATTATAATAAGAGTTTTAAGATTTAAGTAATTTTGAAGTCTGAAACCAAAATATAAATACACATTTTACTGAATTACATATATAATAAACGTTAAGTATTGTGTATTAAATTTTGATGATTCGTATTAATTAAAATTAATGTACTATTAAAAGAAATAAAATAGTACCTTGAATATATCTAGGAACTCTCGGACTCAAAGTTGCTTTAAAATAATGAATTATGACTTCAGCATGTGGCCAAATATCTGTAGGTTTCATAGACATTAATTGTCTTAAAAGTCTTCCTGTTCTTGAAGGACATGTTTGAATATGTGAAAATGTTTCGATAATCATGATATCAGTAACTTTTACATCTTCATAATTTGTAATTGTGGAATCTATATTAATTACTTCATTATCAAGCCAATCATCTACTAATGACAGGTGCGGAAAATGAGTTGCCAACAGTCTAAGAAGAGGGGAAAATAATCCAGCATAATTCATTTGATCTCTTTGAACCAACTGAAGTAGATACTTAATTGGCAATTCTGATAAAAATTCTGTTGAATATGATTTAACTTTTCTATCTTGTGATATAAAAGTGTGCATGTTAGATAATCTGACATCTTCATACAATAGTAAATAATACAATAATAATAGTTGTGATGTAAGAGAGGGTTTCGGAATATCAATATCTGTACTATCCATATCACTTTGAGGAATACTATTATTCTTCTTAAAGTCAAAATTTGCACCAAAGACACTATTCTGAAATACTCTTCTAATTTCATCTTCTGTAATTGGTTTATTAGTATGTTCTGATGTTTTATTGTTTATAACTAAAATTGAATTAACATATACTTCAACTAATGCAGGTAGAACTGGATGCAATGGTGGCACACTGTTACAAATTTGCTTGTAAATCCAATTTTTTATTGGTACACGATGTTTAGCAAATGCTCGTGACTTTAATAATTGATGAATACAATGTACAGGTAAAAATCCTGGGATGTTTGCGTTTAAATTAGCTGTTACTGGCACTTTTACAGCATGAGCAGTAACTACCTGCTCCGTAAATATTTCTTGCATAAAAATTTGTTTCATTCTAGTCAAATTGTTTGGTCTAATTGGTATTTTCATACCTAAAGTTGCACAAACAAGTTCACAAATAGCTGATAATTGATTGCTATGAAAATGTATTGCCATTAAAAGTAACATTTCTCCAAAACTTGCTGTTACACCACTAGCACTTTCAAAATAAGCTTCTTCGCGAACAAGCCACTGTACCCATTCTATACTTCGTTTTTCAAGATTGTGATGACCTATTAATGAAGAACATGCAATAAGCATGCAGAGACCCAAAGAAACAAATCTCACTCCAGCTGGTGAAGGAGGAGGATGAGATGTTAACAACTGTACAATCATTGTAACTTCATCATCCTGAAATTTAATACCTCCAATGCCTCTTAATGCACAATAAAGACGTAATAATGCGCTAGCTTGAACAACTTGACTTTCTGGGAGTTGACCTGCATTTTGTGAGGTGATTGCTTGTAATCGTTTAAGTAATTCTTCCCTTAAGGATTGCAATGCTGTATGAGATTCCCATTTACGTTTTTGACCATTTCTAATGAACATTGCAATCCATGTTCTTACTTGTTGATCACTCCCAAGTAATAATCCAGAAACAAAGGCAACTACATCACTTTCTGATATTGTGTTATTTATGTTTTCATGTTCTAAACTTAACGTTATTGCTAAAGCAGGCATTCTGCAGAGTTCAACACACTTGGCTCGAACTGCTAATGCTTGACTGGGATTCATTTGACACAACATTGTCAAAGCCATTGTCCGGATTCTACCTAATGCTGATTCTTCTTGTCTTTCTCCATTTGCAATTAGATGTGCACAAACTTCAGAGAAACTATCAGGTATATTAGCAACAATCCAACAAATTATTTCTGGGCCATGTTTAACATGTAATAATGTTTCTGTAATGTCCAATATTGACAACACTGTAGGTAATTCTGATAGAGCAACACAAATCACATAGCTAATTTCTTCCATGTATACTGCATTGTCAAACAAATCAGACTGTTTAATGTGGAATTCCTGGTTCTTCTGTTGCTCTTGTACTTGAGAAGCTATGTATAATAGTTCGCTTAGTACTAATCTTATTCTTCTAGTAGACTCGCTGCGCTCAAATTCTAAAGCAAGGCCACTTTGTAATGACTGAGTAAGCACACTATCTCGCTGTAAACTTCCCATCTTTTGCCTGGAAAAATTAATTAAGCATTTTGTACAAATATATCTAACTATTTAATAAAACATTCAACAATTTTATTAAAATAAGACTAACCTTAATTGTTGTTCTTTGCGAACATCAGTTTCTAATGCATGAAAATCAATCGAAAGCAGTGCAATTATTGAATTTACTGATTCTATTCCAGACAAAATTGTTAAAACTTGTTTCCTTTGTTCTACACATTCTTTCGTTACGTCTAAAGGAGAAATAAGACTCATTCGTACCAGACATGGTAAAATTGGTCGAATCTCCTTATGAGAACACATAGCTAATACTGGTATGTCTACATTTTGTATTGCAGTAAAAACTCGTGGAGATACGCGTGAATTTTCTTGCATCATTATTATTTACTATATCAAATTATTTAAACACAAAAAATCACTTGACACTATCAAATTTAAATTGGTTATAAACTAACCAATACGTAATTACATTTTCGTTTATATCACAAAATATTTAGATCCTTTAAAGTTGAATCTGTATGTTTTTCTGAATAAAACATTTTAAATAATTATTATATTTGCTAGATAAACACTCTGAAATATATATTTATATTTAATTTCGTATATTTACAATTTGTTTCGTACCGCCTGACTAAGCCATCTGAAACTGAAGCTATTGAAAACCAGGAGCCGCCAGGGGGTAGGATAATGTTCCCTAGCGGTAACACTTGATATGAATGGAACTTTATTTTGAATAGTAAACAGACGACGTGGAAGTGTGTTCGACTGTGTGTTCTGTTAAATATGGAATATATATACCGTTTACCATTTTTGGCATTAGAAGTACCTAATTTAAAGTTAAAAAAACCATCATGGTTTGTGAAACCGAGCGCTATGGTGGTTTTCTCATTTATACTGTTTTCATATTTTCTGGTAACAGGAGGTTAGGATTATACCGGATATAAATTTCTTATAACTTAATGACTTAGAGTTAAGTATTATTTACATTTCAATGATCAATTTTTTGAAGGTATAATATATGATGTAATTGTGGAACCACCTGGTGTAGGCTCAACAACTGATGAACATGGTCATACACGTCCAGTAAGTAAATAACAGATACAACTTTTCATTGAAATTTTATGAATTTCTAATTACCATATGTTTATTGTAGGTGGCATTTATGCCATATCGTGTAAATGGTCAATATATTATGGAAGGATTAGCATCCAGTTTTCTTTTCACTTTAGGTGGAGTTGGTTTTATAGTATTAGATCAAACACATAGTCCGTCAACTCCAAAACTTAATAGAATTCTTTTAATATGTGTTGGATTTATTAGTGTTATTGTATCATTTATTACCTGTTGGATTTTCATGAGGATGAAATTACCGTAAGATTTTCATTACTTATTTTTTTATAATTAAAAAAATTCATTATAAGTTCATATTCTAAAAAGGAAAGTAATAACTAAAAAAAATATACAAAAAGTATTAAGCTATAATTAAGCAAGTTGTAAAATATTGCAGATCATTGTTTTATGAATCAAAATTATTTATCTCTTCCAATTAAAGTTCCACAAATTTTTTCAGTTACTTAATATTTTTATACAACAAATTTTTTAAATTATGGTGTACCACTATATGAAAAATATTTTTTTTTATATTTGTATATTATTATTTATCGCAAACTATGTGTAATATTATTTATACTAATAATTATGTTTTTTTTCAGGGGATATTTGCAATCATAAATTTAATGTGTTTAAATTAATGAAATAAGGATTTTAATACTTTTTACATAATAAATTCATTTTATACCAAATGTATCAAGAATGTATTGAGAATATTTGTAAAATACATTTTAAAAGGTATAAAAAGTATTTCTTTTGCATCCTTCTATTTATTTGCAATTATAATATCACTAAATGAAAAGATTTATTTAATATATTTTAGTGCTTTTAAGTAATTAATAGTTTAATAAGTTTCAAATCATACAATTTGTACTTTTTTTTATTTTATATGGTTAGTATGAAACAAACAATTAATTTATATGTGAATTTTTTGTAATAATTGGACTAAAAATTGTAGTACTTGATTATTAAAAATTTCAGAGCTATTATTGAACAGAAAATTAAGTCATTGTACTTTTTGTAGGACATAATGCATGTCTGTTATTTTTATTTCAGAATGAAGGCTATGAACTTAAATTGCACTTTGTATTTATTAGCAATATTATTTCAAATTATTTAAGATAAGAGAATATTTATATATACATATACAGACATTATAATTAAATACATATTTTTCCTATACATAGTATTATCAGAAGAATGTCAATTTAGACATCAAATTTTAATGATATATACTATATCATTAAAAGTGTTATTACAAATGTTAATTTCAATCACAAAAAATGTAGATAATATTAAAATACTTTTATTTTCTTTATGTTACAGAATATGTATGTGTATATACTAAAATGTAACAAATTGTATATAATAATGAATATATCAACAGTGGGATGGAGTAGGGGTAGGGGAACTGAAAAGTGGGTAACAGAAGAAGGTTATTGTTGGTTGTATTCATTATTATTCTATTCATCTTTAATATGTAATATAGTTCCAATATATTATTAAAATGTTATAAATACAAAAGGTAGTGCTAATAGTGAAGAAGTACAAACATTAAAACAATATTTAAATTTTAATTTTTTACTACCAAATGTTACTATGTAAGGTAAAAACATGAACATAATGTAAAAATTATGAGTGCCATAATAAATATAATATAATTAACAATGGTTATATCTATATTGTATAAATTAAATAATTAATAAAGTAATAAAATGTATGTAATCATTGTTGATGTTATTATTTGTTATTATAATATTACTACAGTTATAATAATATTTATATTTTAGCTCTTCGATCATGAAAATATGTAAAGAAGAAATTTAAAAACCTACACATTTATAACAGAAAGAGATAATAATTATAATGCATTTAAAAAAAGGATAATTCAGTGCTTTTATAGATATGGGAATAAAAGTTATTTTTGTGATATTTAGTATTAGTATGACAATTATTTTATTTTTTACTGTGTTAAAAACAGATTTTGCAAGCAATACAGAAAAGGAATTAAAAACTTTATACAATGCAAGTTTAGCAGAAAAATATATTTCTTTAATTTCAAAATTCGTTATAGAACCAATATGCAGTTCTAATTTTATAATTTGGATTGTTACATCTTCTGCAAATAATCCTTTGCAAAGAACAGCTGTGAGACGTGCATATCCAAATGAAATGTTAAAGAGTTTGGGTATTAGAAGAGTTTTTTTGTTAGGAATACCTAAAGAGGAAAATATGTGGAAATACATTTTTAAAGAATCTCAAATATACAATGATTTGCTACAAGGAAGCTTTTTAGAAGATTATCGAAATCTTACTTTGAAGCATTTAATGGGCTTAAGATGGGCATCAAAAAATTGTAAAGCTACTTTCCTAATAAAAACTGATGATGATATTGTGTTAAATATGTTTGAAGTATTAAGAGTTTTACATAAAAAGGAAGTAAATAAAAATGCTATATCTGGATATGTTTTAAGAAAAATGAAACCAGTACGAACATTGAATAGTAAATGGTTTGTAACTAAAGAAGATTTTTCAGGAGATACTTATCCTGATTTTCTTTCTGGTTGGTTTTATATAACTAGTTTAAAAAATGCACAACTGTTAGTCTCTGCAAGTAAACAAGTTGGGAACTTTTTCTGGATAGATGATGTATACATCACTGGCATCTTAAGACAAGAATGTGATATTACAGTTGAAGAATTAAACAACTTTTATGCAACCGATTATAGGTAATTATATTTTATAAAATATGAACTTATTAACTATGTCCTTATATATTTAAACATTCGAAAACTTTTTTATAAAATGTTATGAAATCTTCAAAAATATACAATTGAGAACTATACCTTAAAACATGTAGTATTTTATAATAGTAATAATAATAATAATTATTATTATTATTTTTATTATATGTTAATTTTGAATATTAATATTATATGATGTGCTATAGTTATTACATATTTATTATATGTTCATTTTATACTTTTTTTAACAAACAAATTTCTGCAGGTATTTGGAATGTTGTATTCAAGGTAGAAAGAAGAAACTTAAATGCGAATTTATGGCAGGACCTGACGGTGGTAAAAAAGAATTACATATTAAATTTAGAGAATTTTCTGAATTTTGTGAGTCAAATTGTTCTGAAAGAATGAAAGAACAATTGGTATCAAGAACTTGTGTAGCTGCCTATGAAGAAAAAATAAATGTTGAAGATTTTAAAGTGCAAGTTAATTATATCTAATATTTACAAAAACAAATATTATAAAAATGTTTTATAATAAAACCATTTTGTTATGTGTTTATAGACATACACATATGATTCTACACTATAATGTATAATCATATTAATGTTACATGTTGAATATATTAATTAACGTTATTATGTAAAACCACTAAAATTTGCTTTTTTACATAAATTTAATTACTCATAAACCAGGAATATGTACTAACTAAATATTTTTAAATGAATTAAAAATTGAATTAAATTGTATTAAATAATATTTGTTAATTTAGAAATCTCAATCACGTTTCTTAAAATTTACCGTGATTTGTAACAAAGATAAATTTACTATGAGGAATCACTGTTTAATAATATTTTCTGAGATATAAAAACTTGAAATTTTTAATTCAAATTTAAAACACTATGAAATTATATGATATGATATATTATTATACATGTTTAATAAAAACCTTGAGATACTTAATAGTATATGTGGCTTATACAATTGACAGAGTATTAAATAGGAATATGTAGATAAGATATGTAGATAAGGAAGATCTTTCCTCCCTTATAAGTATGTTGAAATATTTCTTGAAATAATATTTCTATTGTTTCCAGTAAATAAAGGAGGATAAAAATGTAATTATTACTTTAGAAGTTGTAAATAATTGAGTTTACAGTTGAAATTAACTGATCATTTAAAGTTATTTTTTCAATTGTGGAAATTATTTTAGATTTTTCAACACATTTAAAAGTCAGATAATAAACATAATATACTGACATACTCATGGATTTTGAATTTCAGAAAAAAAAAAAAGAGTGCAATAATAGAATAGATATGTAATAAATTATATAATTTTAATGTGTAAGGACAAAAGTTACAAATTATTGTGAAACATTTAACCATTGCGTTATAAATAAATAAAGAAGTAACTAGACTTTAAAAATTAATGATTTTTGTAGGAAATATAAGTTTTATTTTTCTTGATGTGACTCATTTGAGTCATTTAAACTGTTATATATTGTATTACATATACTGTATTACATATTTTGCTTTGCTACATACTTATATTTTGTATATTACACAAAAGTAAATTTTTTCTAAAGATTTTTAAAAATATGTTTCAGAACAGTGAAACATTTTATTCAGCTAATTGTATCCACTTTTTGTACCTTCAAACTTTTATAAGTATAATTTTCTTTATTAAAGTCAAGAATAAAAAAGTTTTGTAGAATTGTAACAAAAAGTGGATATATGTACAAATTTTCTACATAACAAATAGATAATTTATTTTCAGAAATAACATTTCATTTGATTACTATTAAAAAATATCTTGTTGAATAGTTTTATCTGTCCTTTTGCAAGAAAAGTTACACTGTATAAATGCATTTAGATTTTATATATTTATTTTGTCTTTAAATCAGTTTTTAAGTTAGAATTAATCATTATACATTCATAACCTCAGGAGTCCAAATAAATATTTTAGAAATTATACATATTTAACTAGAACGTCAATATATATGCACACATATGGAAAATGCATGTAAGTACAATCATTTTGACAATTTTTTATTCTATAATGTTTGGGCAAGATGATTTAATTATTGCACGCATATAAATGTATAACTATGTTTTTTTTTTCTCTTCAAACACTAAACTTAATAAATAGTTTAAGAATTAAGTTATTTTGCATACTATAAAGTCACATATGTATTTCTATTTACAACATGACACTATTTGTCAACATATCACCTCGTTTAATCTTGTATGTACTATCACAAAACGAGTTCATTAATGTATTTAACTTAATATTTTTAGCTATTTAACTATAATGTCCATCTTTCTTTAACTTAAGTAATGTTTGTGTGATGCATTTAGTAAAAAATTAAATATATATATATATATATGTATATATAAATAGCAATAAATACAAAATTTCCACGCAATTTACAGATCTTAAATTGAAGTTACTTTGTAAATGAAATGAATTGAAATATTTAACTTCAAATAATCAAATTATTAATTATATAAAATAAATATTTAGCATCTTGTATAACTTATACATTTTCTGTTGCTATTAGAAGTATGAATATTTATTATAAAAATATTACGTCAAGAAGGAAATTTTACATAGGAGGAATTTTCTTGTGGTAAAAATACTAGTTAAACCTTTTACTTAAAATTAAAAGTTTGAATTAATGTTTTCATTAAAATCAACTTAGTGTGTTTATCAAACTTTAAAAAAGTATCTTTGATGTAGTGCTTTATTACATTATCTCCTTAAAGATATATAAATTATACTGTTGTTATATTACACGAACTTATTCTGTAACTATAAGTTAAAAAGTGACTTTTATAATTATATTTTTTCAGTTACGAAGTAACCTCATTTTACAATAGTAAATAGTATAACACAAGTATTTCAAAAAATAACAGTAGATCAAATGTGAGTTTTGATCTTACTCTTTAATTAGGCTGTTTATCATAATAAATATAATGTAACTAAATTTAAATACAATACACGATGAAGGTGATACAATGATCACGATATTTGGTGATAATGATAATAGTAATGGTAGTAGTAATGATAATAATATATAAATCAGTCGTTTTTTTTAAAACAAAAAGTTAAGGGAATATTATACATCGCTTTATGTATTCAAATTTCAGTTTAAAACTCACGCAGTATTTAAGTATTAAGAGTTTGTTCTCTCAAATACAGCTTTCATATATTTTATATAAATTGTTGTTGCTCTTTATTTTGTTTTCGACTGATCGCTCGTATAGTCATGCAACGAACTGGATTAACGGTGATTCTGAAAGTAATTGATAAAAGGAAACTCTGGCAAACGAGACACCTTTATGCAAATTTAAAGCTGATGTAATTTTGCTAATACAGTGTTCTCTCCGTAAATGTTAAAACTTCGGGTCTCGATTGTAACATTTATGGAATAGGTATTACATTCTTTGTAGTAAAAATTTTTTTTGTAATAGAAAAAGACAGCAACACAAAAGGCAAAGAGGAACTGAGGTTCAGCAAACATGAAAGACTCGTGCGTGTTCTGTCTTTTAAATTCAAAAATTAAAATTTTTTATTTTTGGTTTTTCGTGAATGAAACTTTGATTATCGTATAATTAAAATCATAATTACTTGTATAGCAAGCCGTTAGGAGGAATTCGTATCTCTGCCATAAATGTAAAGTTTGCCGTAGGTGTGAAAGCCCGAAACTTTTATGACTTGTTACATAAGTAATTACGATCGTAGTCATATCGTGTTTGGTGTCATTTTAATCAGAAAAGCGAGACAAATACGATGGTAAAAGTTCCATTGGCGAAAAACCAAAAATAAAGAATTTTGATTTTTGAATTTAAAAGACAGAACACTCAAAAGAGGAAAACTAGACAAATACGACAGTAAAAGTTTCATGAAAACACTGTAAGAAATAAGAAAATTGCTATCTTTTCCTTTGCTTGCATTAGTATGTTTTATTCTTGACTGATTCCAAGGGGGATCCTCCCAGTAGTGGGGATAGAATTTTAATATTTACGGAGAGAATACTGTATGCCATAATGAAATCATTTTATTTTCGAACGTTCTACTTAAAGAATATTTTACTTAATAGTTATAGTTACATCTATGAATGCATACAGTTTCATATAAGCAAATCTTGATAAACCTGAAGATTTTAATATACTACGATTTATTTAATACATTCATACGAGCGAAGCATTCGAATCAAGCGTACTCTATGTTTAAAGTATTTTAAATTCCAACAATTTCAAGCTATCTTTTTAATCAGCTATCGTTGGCAAGCCTATTTTAATCAAAAAAATTTTCTCACCATTTTTCTAAAACTAGTACTCTTTTTATCCTTTTTTTTAGACATAGATGTAATACTACTGCTTGTAGATTCATCACTTTGCTCCAGTAACAGACCATTAGTAGTTGTATCACCATCAGTATGAATCTTTTTTGAAGTAGTTGAACTTGCTTGAGTCAATTTACCATCAGAATCGTCCAAACTGTGACTCCATTCTCCATTTATATCATTCGAATTTACTTTTCTCTTTTTTCTGGTACTCCAAGCACTTTTCATAAATGAAGGTGTTGCATTTAATTTGATATCTTTTAATGTAATACTACTATTTTTTGAATTCAAAATATCTGTTGATGGTTCAGTAATATTTTGGTCATTTAAAGGAACTGTTTTAGGGATCACATTTGTTAATGATGAATTTGATTCGTTCAAATTTTCAGCATAAGAATTACTCAATTCGGAACTCTTTGCAGACTCTGTTTCTAGGGTGTTAGTGTATGACACAGTTAACTGAGCATTGCATTCTGTTTGACACACAGTGTTATCAAACCAATCAACTGCATTTTCTGGTGCAGATTTCAATCGTCTGCAAATTTGTTTTTGAGTCTCATCTGTTTGTAATATTTCATATGATGAAACACTCTTTAATGGTACTTTCATATTATCTGTTAGAGAAGTTCTGCGTTGTGTTGTCAAACTACTTTCTGCCTCGCTATTTACATTTGTCTGATAATTAATTAAAACGGTTCCTTTTTTGCGCTTCTTTTTCTTTTCCTTCTTAGTTTCTTGGAATTTATCATTGATCATTAACTCACGATATGTACCTGTAATATGAGAAGCTATTTCGCTTGGTCGTCGCTTTTTTGTTTTTTTCGTGTGCGAACTAAAATTTTCTGCACTTTTCCGTCGCACTGTATCTTTTTGTGTATGTTCATTCTCTTTTGTCTGTGATCTCTTACTATTACTTCTTCGATAATATAAAATAAATAAATATATCACAAAAACTTCAGAACACATTAACAGTATATGTTGACTTATCATTGAGAGTTTTCCACTCCAACTATCGCGATCATATAGAAGATTTTCCATCGAATTTGAAAGATTGGCAAGTTCTTCCCTTAAAATCGCAATTTCTTCTGCTCTTTTTGACTCGCGTTCTTCTCTTTTTCGTGTTTCTTCGTTCATTGTGGAAACTGTTCGTTCAAGCGATCTTTGCATTTCTTCAACTTGCTTTTTATATCGACGACTTAATTCTTCTAAATACTGTCCACTCAATGACATATTCCTTTCTAACGCCTAAAAATAATAATGCAGATGATATAAAACACTGTAAATTTCTACGTATACATTTTTAAGATATCTTATTCTTAAAAGACTAATTATTCAAATCATAAGTTGGAAAGTTTTTGTATTTTTAATTACTTAAAATACTTAATATTATCAAACAGATACTTATACTTACTTTAATTCTATTGGATAATCTAAGAAAAACAGATTCTTTTTGTGGCATGGTATTTGTTGCTGACTGTGTTACTGAAGCACTTACAGCAGGCTCATTCTGAACATGTGGTGTTTCTCCTTCCAAATCTTTTAAATCAGATAACAATGTATCAATTAATGGATCTTGAGGGGGTAACTTAACTTCTTGTTCTAAATTTTCTGCTTGTCCTTGTTTTCCTTCTTGATCTAAATGCTCCATTGCCTCCACCTTATTTTGCAAGTCAACAAATTCCAATGTGTCTATATCGGGCACCGTATCATCACTTGGAAGCTCATTATTGTCAATAGTGGTTATTGGAGCAGGAATAGTTGTCTGAGGTAAATTTTCAGTGGAAATGCCAGAAGGAGTTGATGGTTTTTCAGAAGTTTTTAAAGTTGAATGTTGTCCATCCTTTAAAGGGGCAGGAGTAGTTGTTAATAGTTCTGTCTCAACTGATTCTTCAATACCTTTATTAGATTCTAAAATTGGAATTGTAGAATCATTCTTTATTTCTTCTTTTTCAAAGGTATCACTTGGATTTATTTCTTTATTTATATTTTCAGTACTTAAGAAAATCTCAATGGGTGCACCAGTAAACTTATTAACTTCTTTGGTGTGCAATTCTTGAGTGCTTTTCGGAATTGCTTTAGATGACTCCGATTTAAAAGAGTCTGCATTTGAGCTTGAAGTGCATACAGTTGCTGCTTGTTGAAAAGATTTAATCCCGTCGTCATTCTGGTCTTCTTTATGTTTATCTGGTATATCTTCTTTAACAACATTATTGAAATTGTTAAATGGCATTTCATGGCTAGTATTCATTACCATTTTCCGTTCTTTTATTGCTAATATATTACAGAGCGCTGCGATGTATTCAGGCTTAAATATAGACGTTATGAATGACAACTGAAAATTTTTCGTCGAACCATATCTTTCTTCAACTTGGTTATATTTTTTTTCTTCTTTTACTTCGTCACTTTGTTCTTCCGTTCCTCTTTTTTCGAAAGTTTCGACTCCTACACCATATATGTTACAAAGTCCACTTTGTCTTAAAGTTCTATTAACAAGATCAATTTTTAACAATTCATTCAGCTGTTGTTCCCTACAACTAACTAACTGGAAGATTTCAGCAAATTTCTGATCCGAACACTTATCACAAAGAATGGTGTACCGTGGCGTAGTGCAACTAATAAAAGAATTTTCAAGAATGTTTCCACTATCTATGCTTTGTTGAATTTTTGTAATATTATTGCCAGTCAATTCGCTAGATTTTACTAATACTTCAGCTGCTTTTTTCATGATACTTAGCACAGCATCCCTGGCGCTACCGAATAAATTTCTTGGTGGATCACCACTTTCAACATCCAAAACTTCTTCCTCATCACTGTCTTCACCATCATCTTCATCAGTACTTGTTTCTCTGGAAATTTGATTTTCCGTTTCCGTTTCTAAAACCTCAAATTCACTGGTACCATAAGCACGAAATAAAGAAATAGGGCAAAAATGTTCAGATCCATAATAGGTGTGTAATTCAATTTTTATAAATTTTCCAAAAAGATGTGGCTGTAAAGCAAAACTTTGAATATCCTTTGTGTCTTTTGCAGTAAATTGACCAACTGGACTCCAATCTCTTGTAGGAAAACGATCACTAATGTATACAGAAAAATCTTTTGGTGATGAACTGAAAAGCTCAAAATTTGCCAGTTCAATTTTTTTTGCTTGAATAGCTTCACAAAGTTCTACCACAAACCATATCCGTGACGTACACGTATTGAGCATATATTCATCTCTGGTCGACACTAACACACTTCTGGCACTTTGTGCTTCTGGATTAGCCGCTACAATTTTAGCTCCACAATCAGGAGAAGCATAATTCTTAGAACGAACCTTCATACTACCTATTCCCCGTGTTGGAGTCCCTGCATTTTGAACAGATGCATTTGGATGTGCTACAAAAAAGATAATAGTTGTTCAATTACTTAATTTAATTAAGTACTGTGATTATTGAATTTATAAATTCAAATACTCACTTTTCTTTTTTTCAGCTTCTTCTAGTCTTTTCTGAGTCCATTCACTAAAAGATGGAATATCCTCATGAGGATTTGCTGATCCCACAGACACAATTCCTTCACCAAGAACAATTGCAGCTCCTTCGTCTCTGTTATCTCCTACTAGTCGAGCTTTGGCTTCTGAATCGCTTAATTCTGGAGTTGTTGCAAATGTTCCATCAACTTTAGGTATCTCATCAGAAAGTGTTTTAACATCGTCAAATTTGAATTCTAATTCATCAGTCGTGATAGGACCTTGTTCAGCTCTTACTACTACTACTACTTCTGGTATCTCTTCTTTAACTGAATGTGATAATAATACAGATTCCTCTTGGAGAGTATTTGTTTCATTAAGCGTTTCTGTAATTTCATTAATACTTGGCGGAGGTAGACTTTGTGTATTTGATGAAATTTCATCTGGTGCTTGTGTTGTTGTTTGTCCAAGATTCGCATTGTTTGTTAGCATTGATGAATTCTTTGGAAATAATCTTGTCCTTGAAAATTCTTGATTCAGCTTTGGCTCTGCCAAACTTTGTAACTCTGCTACAGTTGTATCCATTAAAGGTAAAACTGTTGTTTGTTCACTTTCAGAAATTCTGTTTACAAAAAAAAAGAAATATTTGTATCTAAGTAAATTTTAGCATTTTTTAAAATGCCTTTCAGCATAAAAATTATGTAACAACTTTTAGACAGTTATTATAAACAATAAATTATATCTTTTAAAGAAATTTTACAATCAAAATATAGATTATTTATTTAATATATTCAAATACACATAATACGTATACAATAGATTAATTTATTAAATTTACATTGGCTCCATTTTTAATGTAGCTTATTCTTCTACATCTAAAATAATTATTCTATTTGCTCCTATTTTATATTATTCTTGTTCTTATTTATATCTGTTTAGTACCTTTTTTTTATAATTTAGTTAACTAATAACAAATAAATAGTAATAAAATATTTTTAATACTATAATTCAATATAGTATAACTCTACAATCTGTTGATATTTTGATGTCACAGAAGCAATGCATGAAAAGGGATAACAAACATTTAAAAGGCTTCATCTGTAGACAGTATTCCTATACTCAATTACACTCATAAAAGAATGCACTACATACATTGACATTTCAATTTGGGCATATTTAAATCAAAATTGTTATAATATAGTAATACAGAATATTCAGTTTAAACTTTTATATTGAATGTTTATTAAATTATTAAAAACATAATAAAATTATTTACATTTTAAATACAAAGTATATCATTAAATTTTTTTTTTGTAATAACAATTTGTCTAAATTGTTATTAACAGAAATTATAATGTTAACTTTAATTATTTAATGCAAGTTATTCACAATTATTTGAAAAAATCTCATCTGCCCTATGATAATTATTTTTAGCGAACAATACTATTTACCAATAAATTACATTTCCTAAAACATTATAAAAATAGATAAAATATTTTATCTAAATATATAATTTAATTTATACTGCAAAATTTGTACTAATTCTGTAATTTATTATTTTTGCTTTATTAAAATTTCAGTTTATTATGTACAAAAAAATTGTAAAAGATATATAAAAAACATTTAATTAACAGATATTCTTAAAGCCAATTTTTAGTTTTAAAGTATAAAACTATGTATAAAGTTTAATTCATAAATGAAACTATTTTAGTAAAATAATTGGCTATTTGACATGCTTACATTCTATTCTTTTATTATATATAATTCAGTAAGATTTTTTAACACACAATTTTTTTACACACAACAAAAACTTACCCCTGAGATAAATTAGGTTGTTGAGTAAGAGTCTCAGCCACAATATCTGGATTTTTATAAGGATTCTCTTTTCTCCTTACTTTACTTTTTATAACACTTTCAAAATCAATAGCTTTTTTTGCAAATTTGTCCTAAAGATTTATTTAAGATTTATTATATTTTAACACAAATGTAAATTACATTTAATATAATGAAAAAAAAAAATTGAAATATTTCTTAGCTATTTACAATTTTTTAATAACATAGCATCTCCAAATAATGGTATAACTTATCGTATAATTTATAATACCTTTTTCTTTTGCATTCTTACTTGATAATAATGATCTTCATACTGGTGCTCCAATTTTTTTGAATTCTGTAGTCTGGTAAATGCTATATTTGATGTCTCTAAACTATTATCATCTATATGATCCAAGGTATCATTATCGTAAGTCTCTGAAGAGTCATTCCTTTTGACTGGCAAATAATAATTAGTTTGTGCATTTTCACAAGCTACTATAATAAATAGCAATGCACTGCAAAAAGATAACATTACATTGTGAAAGAAGAAATGCAAACTTTCATAATAGTTTATGTATTATTATAAGCATTAAAGGAATTTGATGAAGTTACTTTAAGCATAGAAAAATAAATGAGATGTACATGTGAATAAATATTTAAATAATAAAGTAACAATGATTTGATAGATTTTTTAAAATACATATATTTTAAAATTAGAATTTCGATTTGGATTTTACATTGTTTCTTTACAGATTTGTTTTCAGATAATATACATATATAATTCAATTCGTCGCACATTTAAAACCAGTAACTATTTATATCTTCAAATATTTCTATAGCTAAAAACTTATTCTGTATAAAAAAATATTGAAGAGAATAATAATTTATTATGATATATTATTACTATTATTTAAAAATTAAGTTAAATAAATACAATAGAGGTTAATAGCATTATTATGAGCGAACGTAAAGAATTACTTGTAGATATAAATATAAACATTTTATAAATAAATTTATCATAATATAATTTTATGCACATGAGTATTTAAAATTAATGAAAAATATATGTAAAACATTAAATGTCATTTATACAATATAAATTAATAAAAGAAATGAAGCAGAAAAATTGTAAAACTTAAAATCATTACAGAATATGAAATTTATAAATCTTGCCATGTTACAATTTATAAATTTTTCTTGAAAAACACATTTAAAACTATATTCATAATAAGAAAATAGTTTATTTATATGAATACACTGAATTAACATTACTGTATGAATGAACAAATTGTTCTTAAAACTTAAAGTATTATACAATAAATATAAACTTTATTTGTACTAAATGTTTTAGAAATCATATATTGCAAACTTTAAATATTAAACCTATTAATATCTTTAGTACTCCGAATCATAATCGTAAAAGAACATTTAATAATAACCTTATACTTTTTCCCATTTTCGTATATTTAGATGAGATACACCGGTTTAGCAATATGCTTTACCAATACTATCAAAATTAAGCGCGTGGTAAACTTCTTTAATAGTTAACTTGCGTGTGTATGTGAATTGTCGGTACATTACAAGAGGAAAAAGCAAAGTACTTGCCTGGAAACAACTGATATAAAAAGTAATGTCCAATACACGCACGTTATACAAATCTTCATTTTTCCTTTTGAGCGCTTACATTACTTTTTACATTTAAAATTTTACTGTCAACAAACAGATGCTTTTATAAATGTGTGATCATTTTATCACTTTACCACTATACCATCGTGACTACTGCCATTACTACCGATATTATCACTGTCAGTAGTGTGTAACTATATTTATAACCACTTTTTGTTACTATCACTGTCGCCACTTCAGCTATTGTATACGCGAAAAAAACTGACGTGGTACTGCGATCGAAATGTTTGCATTTGGAAAAGTGGAATTATTTATGATTCATTGCGTGTCGTTCATCGCGCGTCATTAAACATAACATTATTTTCAACGAGTAACAATTTTGTGTAAAAAAATTATATTTTATATTGAAAATCTTTTATATTTAGTGAAAATAATGACGCATGCGCTGGAATTGTCAACTGACTAACCTGTTTATTTAACGATTTTATATGATGCAATTATAACATCTGTTATGCGATGAATATTTAATACCAGTGATTTTGTAAATTGTATTATGATAACAAAGTATGGGATGAATACAACTTTTTCATATTTGGAAACATCAGAATTTGAATTATGTATCTTTGATACTTATGAAGTTTCATTATTAACTTACAATTAATCAGAAATTTTACAATTCATATAAATAATGAATACTCTTCAATTAATACATCAATAAATTAAGTAATAAAGGGAATATTAAAATTGACCCTCATAAGCCGAATGCAGAGTCATTGTGTCTCGGTATGTATTGTTTATTTGCATATTCTTTCTGTATATGTGTATATGTATATCTTGATATACTTAAATGTACTTATACATACAGGTGTATTTTGAATTTTATACACAATAATAATATTGTTACAGGTTGAAATGACATTGCATATTTTTTAAAGTATCAGTTATATTCATCTTACAAGGATTAATACAACATTTTGATATTTCTTAAAAGTTGTTTTATTTTTCATTGTTATACAACTGTTAATATATACATATCAATTGAAAGAATCTTTTCTTTATTCAATTCTTAAAAGCCTTTTCTTAAAACATTATTTCAGATTCACAGATAAGAATTGATATTGAACATATTTTTAAAAGATACGCCATCTTTTTATTGATAAATATATTTAGAATGTATAATTTCTCGATATTTATTAACATTAGTATTTTATTAATTACAACTTTTAGGTCTAAAAAACTTGTTACAGTTAGTTTTTAATTTTCAGAGTTATTAATTTTCAATGAACAAATTTTAGTCAGTACAAATAAGTGCTCGTTTTATGTTACAATTATAAGCTTCAGTATACTTCGCATAGATACATTTAATACATTAATCCAACATGGATTTTGATATAAGTTATCGACTAATTCTTCGCTTTATTCAATGTTATTTGTTTACAAATAAAAGATCACTGAATGTGCATGTGATCTCCTAATTATTACAATTGCGCATGCGTGTTACCCTTGGTTACAGAATTTGCTAAACCAATCAAAGTCGACGTGCGCAAATAAATGAAAACTCGTTCGACAATAATATTTTCTCATAAACATGACAAAGGTTATGTATTTATAAATGTATTAAAGTATATTAAGTACTATTTCGCAGTTTTAACATAAAAATATTTCTTCTAAATTAATGAGTTTCCAGTGTAAATATTCAATTTTTTGTAGTAAAAAGTAGAGAACAGTATCAAAAAATCATACCAATGAGTTCCATTCACAAAAGAAATGAAGTTGACCTTCAAGTCACCTTACATACCCACGTATAGAAAAACTATTAATACCGAATTATTATTTTCCATGAAATACTTACTTTCTGTTTGAAACATTTTTCAATATCACTAATGATTTTAAATATATTTATATGTGCATCTATTTAAATGGACCATATACATCGAATTAGTAGGTATATATTGTATATTATTTCAAAAACCTCAATATTGTACGTATATATAGTATACATAATGCCAAAAAGGTTTAATTCAATAAATTTATTTATATAATTAATTTAAAACGTTACTTTATAGTTCATATGAACATGACTTTAAGGTTGATTTTTGAATATTTACATTATTTTAGATAATTTAACGTACTTTAAACGATAAGTGCCCTACACAACAAATTATATTAGCTACTATTTAATAAAATTTTGTTATTAAAATGTTTATAAAACCTTTCAAAAAATGTATATGCTGTATTTAGAGCAATTTAATGTGTGAAGAGTCCAAATTGAATTTAAAATTGAAAAGCATTTGTGACCAATTTCAAGCAACTGTTTGAGTTTACAGAAAACTTCATATATGGGCAACAAAGTTTAGAGTTTTGTCGTTATTATTGTAAGATACCGTCATGTTAAAGAAGGTATTATGTAAATTATTTATTGTAGCATTATGAAACAAATTGATTTTAAAAAACATTCTATTTTATTCACCATTTTACACATATTTGTCTTTAATTAGTTTATTGTATAACCATTAATTTTCGACATTGTATCCAATTTTATTTTTTTTACAGAACACGTTTACGATATTTATTATAACTTAGTTGAATATGAATTGTATTCAATTGTATATACTGCCAAACTTGCAGGCTTAATATTACTTATCAAGTGTTCACTAAATCATGGCTCTACGTCGGGGAAAGAAAAACTTAAAGTTGCAAGTTTCTGAAGAGGCACCTGTGCCTGTGTATGTATTATTTTGCAAATATATCGCATTGTAATATATGTAATAGAAATATGTATATTGATATATATTATGGCATACTTTAAAAGATACTTAATTTTTTAATAATTTAATATTGTTATAAAGTCAGTAACTAACTTTACATTATAGTACTCCACCAAGAAATTTAGATAAAAGAACTACAATAACTATAGGGGAGAAAACCTTTGTAGTGGAAGCAGATGATCTAGAGACTATCTGTATTCTTGGACGTGGAGCGTATGGCATTGTAGATAAGATGCGACATAAACAAAGTGGTACTATTATGGCAGTCAAGGTACCAAATATTGTTATTCAAATATACAATTTTAATGTATTTTTGATACATTTTTAACAGTAATATTTTATTTGTTACATAGAGAATAACTGCAACAGTTAACACACAGGAACAAAAACGATTACTTATGGATTTAGATATTTCCATGCGTAGTTCAGCATGTCAATATACAGTACAATTTTATGGAGCATTATTTAGAGAAGGAGATGTTTGGATATGTATGGAAGTAATGGATATGAGTCTGGATAAATTTTATACAAAAGTGTATAAGTATGGACGTGCCATTCCTGAAGATATTTTAGGAAAAATTGCTTTTGCAGTAAGGACAAATCAAATAATTGTAGTAGTTTGTTGTTCAGTATTAATCATGATTATAAATTCAAATCATTTTTACAGGTAGTAAGCGCATTACATTATCTGTATTCACAGTTGCGAGTAATCCATAGAGATGTAAAACCTAGCAATATTTTAATTAATCGTAAAGGAGAAGTAAAAATTTGTGATTTTGGTATATCTGGCTATCTAGTAGATTCTGTTGCAAAAACAATTGATGCTGGGTGTAAACCATATATGGCTGTACGTAACTTTATAACACTAATTATGGATTATTTGTTCTTGTCTGTTCAATAAATTCTCCATTGTGACCTTTTTTTTAGCCAGAAAGGATAGACCCGTCGGGTAACCCTTCACAATATGACATCAGATCTGATGTTTGGTCATTAGGTATATCTCTTGTTGAATTAGCAACAGGAAAGTTTCCTTATGAATCTTGGGGAACACCTTTTGAACAATTGAAACAGGTTGTAAAGGATGAAGCACCAAAGTTACCTGCTAATAAATTTTCTGCTAACTTTGAAGAATTTATTAACAAATGGTAAGTGTTGCTTATTTTTCATAAAATTTTAGGAGTTATACATATTTTTAAATTAATAATTATTTTTGCAGCCTAATGAAAGATTATACTGCCCGTCCAAATTACAATCAATTATTAAAGCTTGATTTTATCATGGAACATTCTAAAAAGGAAACAAATGTTGCTGAATTTGTTGGTGAAATTTTAGACTTACCTGAAGTTGAACAGCCAGCGTAGTATATAAGACGCTTGTTGACATGGTGTGTTACATGACCCTTAATGTAACTTCGTATTATGCATCGAAGTTATTTAATCATTTCTTTATATCAAACATTAAACAAAAATACGTGCAACTTTTTTCAGATAGGTTCACATCTTTGTTTATTCTATATAAAATGTACAATTTTAATTCACAATCCTTCTGGATTAATAAATTAAGAAATACTCTTCTAACAGAGAGTAAAACTATGTAAATAATATACGAATATTTTCTATACAATATAACAATGGTTTGTCATTGTAGCAATATAACAAATGAAGTCCAAATTATGAAAAATTATTTAATTAGTAAATATGATTTTGTAATTCATTTGTTATAATTATGTAAGAATTTAACTATAACTAAAATGATATTGTAGAATAGTAATATTTATGCAAATGGCTGAAAAAGTTAAAATATCCATATTTATGAGAACAATTTTAGAACTCTAATAGGATGAATATAAAGTCAATTACACTTTTTTATAATATTGTAATCATGTATTAGAAATTAATAACTAATAAACAATTATACTGAACATATAAGATGTAAGGCGTACAAATTTTTTTACAAATATGATATAGGAATTAAATCATTATATATAAAGAAAGCTTAATATGCATTACGTAAAGTTTGCTACTTCTTTATTCATAAATAATGTAACATAAGGTAGGATAAAGTTAATATAGAAATTAATATAAGTAACACACATTTATATATATATTTATTATATATAGTACTATAAATTTTTAGCTACATCTTTGTACTGAAAAATACTAATAGTAAATTTGTTAAAAATAATATACAGTGGTATGTAACATACGAATGATATATAGTTGTACAAGTTCATGTTATAAGAAAAATCAATCCTGCACTTTATTACATAGTACATTTTAGGAATTCCTATTATATAGGACTCTGCTGTACATATATAGATGGTAATTGTTTGAAAGAAAAAGAATATTTTACATATCATATACTATTTATTTGTAAGTACATTATGTTTATTTAAAACATTTTCTCAGTGCATGTGATTTTATATATGTACAATTAAAAATGAATGGTTAACTTTAAAAAAATATGTACAAATATAAAGGAAGATGCTTTCTTTGACATTATCAATGTTACGGTAATGCTATATATTTATGTATAGTACTATAAACTTAAATGCATTAAGTTTTTACATTGTCAGTTTTACATAATTGTACTTTTCCAAAATTTTTACGAGGACGTTGGCATTAAAGTTAAGCCTTTACAATCAATAGCAATCTTTATGCCTAATACGAATAATCCAATACTTTTAACTACTGACCTGTGAACAAATGATTATAATAATAAATTTCATTGTTACTTACATTGAATAAATAAAATATTATTCATAAGAAATATTTTACGCTACACGAGGTTAAGTATTGGCAAGATTTAAATGAAAAGTTATGAACAGAATTGTAATAATCGTTACATACCATTGAAAAGGATCGTGGTAAACACTTTTTACAAATTTTACAACATTTGCCATTGTAATGCAAGTTTAAAAATAAATATTCTTTTGTTTTAATTATTTGTGTTCAAAAACTATTCGAATTAATTTGAAATTGTAGCATTGAACAAGTCATATACGTAAGTTTTTACGATAGATCATACTCGGTTTGCGCAATCGTAAATGTGTTGTGCGCGCAGCTCGAATAACTTCAGTCATATACATAGTGAACAAAATATACAGAAAGCGAAAAAAGGCATGACCAGTTTTGAAAATTTCAGGTAGTGAAGGTTTAAAAATATGGAATTTTGGCGATTTGAGAATTTTGAGATTTGGAAATTTACTTATAAAGTATCTTCAAACAAACATATACGAATCGACTGAGTAGCACATAAAAATGTATATAACTTAAACCAATCAAAGCTACATGCGCAGATAAATAAAAACCTATTGGAGTGGTGAGAGAACTTTGGTTTCTTTTTTATCCATGTGGTATTTAGTCATTTATAATCTCTTTCTTGCTTCATATGACTATGTAACTTTTGTTCAGTACGTAATTAAATTAACTACAGATTAAAAAATATTTAATAACTGAATTTATGGCATACATAGTACAAATTTAATTGTATGACTATATTTTATTTTTATGTATCTAATGTGTTGACACTGTAGTGTTAATTATAAGTACCTAACTTCAAATCACAGTACATAAGTGCGGCGTGAGTAGGTGACAAATAAAATTCAAATGACTTGAAATTAAAAAAATTACGAACGGTAAATAAACTGTATTCATTAATAATTTGTTTTGTTACGATTTTCAAAGTGAAATATCTATTATGTTATTATTATATTTATCTTAAAGTACTTGAAGAACTTACATGTTTATTTACTATTTGTATTTATTTAGTTATATGTTTATATTATTATAGTACAAAATGTCATTTTAAATATTAAAGTAAAATACATTCTATCGTGTTCGTAATTTTTATTATTTTTATGTAGTACAATTAAAATGAACAATTTCAATCAATTTGAGTTTTAAGTAAGAAATATTTGTAGTATAAAAATTTCACTAAGACAAATTTTTTGTGTTAGGTTTTTAACAATTCTTTATTTTACAGAGAATCATAATCATTTTGGAAGACACAAAATTTATTCAATAATATGTTAGAGGAAGGATTTACTACTATTGTTCTACATACTTTGTCTACTATGATATTTTTCATATTTACAATAAATTTCTTTCGATACCTTATAGGAGAGCCCCGTATTCATATTAGAGATGTTACCAAACAGCACAATTGGAAATCCATTAGAAGAGAAACAAAGGTATTTGTACATACATTTAAAATATACATTTCTTACTTTTTTTTTATCTTTTCATAGATTATTATATGATAATACTTATACATTATTAAACTAAGATACTTACAATCAATAAATATATTACAACAATTACGTAGATGAATCTGCTACAGCACGATTCTCTGAAAGAATAACTATATTTTGCATTAAGGATGTATATATTATTCTAAATATGTTCTTAAATATACTTTGTTACAAATTAATGTTAAAATGAATAAGGTCTAGAATAAATTAATTAGTTAAAAAATATCTCTGTTAAACTTAAAAGTTATTTAAATTACAATATGTGTAAATATATAAAAATTATATTTATTTCCATAGGCATATTATTGTAGTATTTGTGAAAGTTTATTGCTAAATATTAATGGCTTGATTTGTGATTCGTGTGGTGTATGTGCGGATCCTACATGTGTTAAGATTGCAGATAAACAATTGAAGTGCAAAATTATTACTCTGAACACAAATAATCCAATGAAACATCACTGGATAAAGGGTATGTTATATTCTAATATTCTTTCATATGATATTTAATACTTAGTGTCAAAATTTATATTTTATTTTTTGAATTTTGTTTTTTAGCATTTAAGTTTTAACATCATATGAATTATAGCTAATTTCTATTCGTTTCACACAAGGTAATTTACCTCTGAATGCGATATGTCACGTATGTAATGAAGAATGTGACTTGGAACCCGGTTTAATAGATTGGTGGTGTTGTTGGTGTCAAAGATGTGTGCACGACACTTGCAAAGCTAATCTATCTGAAGTATACATTACCTATTTTTGATTCATGTTTATGATATATGATTCTGATGTATTTATTTCGTTTTCATTTTCAGATATGTGATTTTGGTAAATTTAAATTAATGGTGATTCCGCCAAGTAGTTTGGAAGTAATAAATTTACGAAGTACTGTTCGACGTAAATTACATATTCGTGCAGTTAAACCACCAAACTGGTCTCATTGGAAACCTCTTATAGTTGTTGGTAAGTTAATAAGTAATATGATAACTAAATAGTAGATGTTTATACACTTGTAATATAGCAAAGTCTGTAAAGTATAAATTTGAAGTCTATAAATTACATGATGTATGTATACTTTCCAAACTTATGTTTATATAATGTTTCTTTCAGCAAATAAAAAGTCTGGAAATAATGATGGAGCAGAAATCTTATCTTTGTTTAGAAGATTAATAAATCCTGCCCAAGTTGTTGATTTATCAGAACGCGATCCAGTTGCTCTTCTTGAATGGTGCCGTTTACTCGGAAAAGTATCGTGTACTATCCTTGTTGCGGGTGGAGATGGAACAATAGCTTGGCTTTTAAGTTCTATTCATAAACTTGGATTGGAGGTAATACAGATATTATATCAATGCTTAATTCAATTAAGGTTCATTAATATGTTAAATTATTTATCAAGTTTTTAGTAGAGAAAAATAGTCCTTGTAATATTGCTCATAAAGATTTCATATATTTTGAATTCATCTATATTGTACATTTGCCTAATTGCATTCACCTGATGTAAATATCGTAATACTGTATTACAATAGCAAAGTAAATGAATATAAAATGTTTTCATTTGGAATAGCCAGTTCCACCGTTAGCAATAATTCCTCTAGGAACAGGAAATGATTTATCAAGAGTATTAGGATGGGGAAAAGAACATGATTCAAGCAAGGATCCTACAGAGATCTTACAGGAATTGCAAACAGCAAAACAAGTGGAACTTGATAGGTACATAAAAAGTATGGAGTGTAGTAAATTGTTTTGAAATGTAGTTATATTGGTTTCAATATTATATTAGATGGACTGTGATAGTAAAGCCATATGGCGGATTGGGACTCAGAAACTTAAATCAGACATTTTACATGTATAACTATATAAGTGTAGGGGTTGACGCACAAGTAACATTAAATTTTCATCGTACACGAGAAAGCCGCTTCTATTTTTATAGCAGTAGATTGTTTAATAAGGTAATATATTTTATTTGATATTTGTTTAAAAATTATATTAAAAAATGTATGTTTTCTTTTAACAGCTACTGTATTTATGTTTTGGTACTCAACAAGTAGTAGAAAGAGAATGTAAAGACCTTGATAAAAGTATAGAAATATATCTAGATGGTAAGAAAGTGGATTTGCCCTCTATTGAAAGTATTGTAATATTGAATATTCCATCATGGGCAGCTGGTGTTGATCTTTGGAACATAGGGCTTGAAGGTATGAAATTTTGTTCTGTGTGCAAAATTAGATAAATATTTTACGTGATTTTTCTGTATGTCAAACAGATCATGAGAAATATGGCAAACAAAGTATCAATGACGAAAAGTTAGAAGTAGTTGCTCTTTACTCTTCCTTTCATATGGCTCAACTTCAGGTTGGACTTTCACAGCCTTATCGACTTGGACAAGCTAGTTCCATAAAGGTATTTCATGTTTAATCTAAATAGATTAAATTTTCAAAAAGCAAGCTTAAACATAATTAGGTAGTAGGTGTAATGAAAACATATTTTATTATTTACATTCATATCAATGTTATAAATGATCATTTTATAAAATACAGGTAAAATTACTAAAATCTTGCGCTATGCAAATTGATGGTGAACCGTGGTATCAACAACCTTGTGAATTTAACATTTCATATTGCAACAAAGCAATTATGCTCGAAAATATACTTAATAGGGATACTTAAATTTATCTGATAGTGTTACACAATTTCAATTATGTACATTCCACTGTTTAGTTTAAAACAAGTGAAAATTGATTACATTTTACGAAAAGAAACATATAAACTAATATGCCAAAAATGAAATATAAGGAATGTTATTTTAGTGACTAAAATATTTAGTGTAATTTTAAATAAATGGAAGATAATTTATTACTTTATTCTAATTATATCTTTTTTGTATAAATATTATGAAAATATATATATCGTTACATACATTGTGGTTATTATTTAAAAAATTATAATATTAGAAATGTAGTAATATTAATTATTTAGTCGAATTATGTCTCTGTCTGGCAAAAAAACAAGAAAAAGGAACGGAAACATTATAAATAGTATGCTATTTAAATTCAAAAAGTTGCAAAAATATCTCATATAAAGAAAACAATACATTATAGCAGTTATAAGTTAATGTAATGACTGTATTGAATACAATGGACATGAAAATGAAGTATACCATTGTAAAATCGGCAAACGGATATGTGAAATGACGACAAATGGAAACGTTTTAAAATGTAAATTTTAATACTCCGTTTACCTATTAATGGAGTTCATAGTCCATGTTAAAAGCAAAGGTTCTCTTCATATGTGTATATTTCTTTTCTTTTAACTCTTATAGGATAAATAAAGATTGATATATTAATTACAAATACTAATACACTTAAATTCAAATATTTTTTACCATTTATTTATTTGTAATAGCAAAGAAAATAGTTTCTGGTAAAATTATTTTAATATAGTCGAAAGAATATAATTTCAAAATCTAAATTCAAATTTAAGTTTGAAAAAAATGAACGAAACTATTATATATAATAATGTGTCACTATTATATATGTACAATAATATTTTCAATTAGACTCAAGTTTCAGATGATTTGAGAAAAGAATCACTTTGTGTAGATTGTCTTTGAATTTGTAACATATTTGAAGTTAGTTGAAGGATTTCCAATTACAAGAACTATTTTCAGTTATATCAGTACTGATAAATTTTCTAGTTATGACAGAACGACAAATGAATTTTCTTCTTATATTAATGACAATTTGGATAATGCATGAAACAGCTCGCATCATGAACAACATGAAGTAAATCTCTTGATTGTTTACTTAAATGACGTAATATTTAAAAATTCTTAAATATTAAATGCTAAGAACAGTTGCTCCAATTCTTGACAAATTAAAGTAAAATAATAATATACATTTGTTGTACAATTGATAATCAATGGAGCTATAAAAATATATCTTGCAATGATACAAAATGACAAGGTAAGACAACGTAACATTTTCTTTCATAGAAACTCAAAAAGATTCTTTTTTAAATTTGAAACCGAACTGATCACATTTATAACGCAAAATTTTCGCCAATTGTGGTGGTCCACAATAAAAAACTGTTACTTTACCCTTTCTCCTGTCTTGGAGTTGTTTAAAGACCTTATCCCAATTTGGCCGTCCTGCATTTGTTCTTGTTTTTAGGCCTGTTATAAGATCTCGTTTTTCCTGGGAAATGACACAATTGTGATTTGATTCAATAAAAATCATATTCTTTTTTTAATGTATACCTTATAATGTACTTAACGAAAAACAATAAATTTAATCGAATTTTAGGTGAAAGTTTACTATTATTTTGTTTCAGTTTATTAAATTTATCATTAGTATTACTTCTAACATATTTAGATATGTAGATAATGCGAATAACTACACTACATGTGTGTAATAAATAAAAATACAACAGAAATGTGTAGAAATATACAAAGATTTACAATGTGATGAAAGAAGATGAATGCAAATATAAAAGTATAAGGTAAGGCTGATTAAGAAGAATAGTTAATTCAGAGTCAATCAAAAAACAGTTAAACAAATATGATATAGAATCAAAGAATCTGTTATTCTAGTTTCAGGTATATACATAATATTCTATTACAAATCTGGTGTGTGCGTGTAATGAATGTTACAAATGACTCATTATTTTATGTGGATTTGAATTAATAAATTAATGTTATTTGCGGAATAAAAAAAGAACATACCATTTGATGAACTAAGTCCATTGCTAACTGCAAACTGACAGCCTTCATATCATTTTTTTGAAGGGCACTAGTGATGTACATGTGCATCTCAAGGAAACGTTCCATGGTAACGCCAAGTTCTGCTTGCTCCATTTCTAATTGAGATAGTAAGTTTACAAACCATTCAAATGATCTTTGATCTCTATTGATCCAGAAAAAGTCGACCTAAAGAAAAATAAGTAATATCTTCTTTAAATTTATTTTCATTAATGATGTTTGTTATTTTCATTAGTTGGATATTTATTTCCACCGATTAATGATTGAGTAACTTTTTCTATTTTTCTATTTAAAGATATTTAAAAATATCATATTTGGAGTTTTAATTCAGTAGAATAAAAGGAAACATAATAATCATGTGATATTTGCCTTTCGAAGATGCATGACAGTAGGTGGGATTTCACTAGCCCAGGAGAACTTGCATTTTGGACAAGTATGCCGGGCTTTCCAGTAACGATGCATAATGGATTGCAATATCGATGCAAAAGGTGTTACTCCAATTCCTGTTGCAATTAAAACTGCATGTTGCGCTTGAAATATGTGACTCGAGGGTGCTCCATATGGACCATCCAGGAAAATCTGAATAATTGTCAATGAAATCTTAGAACCATGCAAGAATTATAATATTTACTAAATTCATTTTTTAATCAACTTATTATAAATTATTTTGAGTTAGATAAATCAATATAAGAGTGACAAAATTTATTTTATAAAAAATGAATAGTGACTGTTGGAAAACAAATTGGTTTATACCAGCAAATAGATATAAACTGATTTCATTTTACTTAAATTACATAATTTTGAATTAATAGTAAACTATATTGAGTAGAATAATACGAAAGAGATGAAGAATATAATGATTTTACCTCTAACGGTTTTCCTATGGTATAATTCAAGTCTTCATGTGAACAAATATCATTTATGTTTCTCTTTGCGATTTCTTCAAACTTTGTATGTAATTTACCTTCTTCTGCTGCTGCCTGCATTGCGATTATATTGGTTGATAATCTTCTGCAGTCATTTGTATTTGGTTGTGATGCTGTTTTATATAAATTTTCTTTATTAATGTATTAATGAATGTAGAACTAGTTCTAACTTATTGTAGTTATGGAATCGTCTTTTAACAGTTTACATTAATTGATATTTTTGTTATAAGCTTTTTGAATATTTTAGCTCATATGAAAAAATTATCTAATTTAACAGTTGATTTTGCATAGTATCTTAGTAATAGATTCACACTTTAATAGTTTAGGCATTGCATTATTGATTAGATATTATAAATCAAAATTTTTTAATCTTAGTTCTTCAAGGAATTTATATATATTTTCAGAACTGTTAATCGCACTGTTATTATATATTGTTTTATTTATTTATAATTCAAATAGTACTCACTATTTTTATTCGTAGGTGTTACTGCTTCGTACTCGTGGTTTTCTAGACTCGGCGTTTTAAATGCAATTATCGTAGGTTTGGTTCTCATATACCGAAAACTTTGCGCTAATCCTTTGTTTTGTGGACTTGAATAAGCTTGATCTGAAGATTTCAATCGTGCACATCGCATTTGACGTTCATCGAAGCTTCTGTCCGATTCAGATCTCATATAGTTGCGGAGTCTACCAAAATGAAGTATAATATTAATATAACAATATATGTCGGTGAATCTAGAAAAGGAGTTGCAAACTGCTTACGCTGTCAGTCTTTCCTTTTTCTTGTTTCCTGTTTGCATATCTGGTACCGAGACGGATTTTTCTAAAGGCGATTTGGCACCAAGCAGCGAGCGATGAAGCTTTGGTTCCTTTGGAAGTTTGTCAATATTTGCTGAACCTACAATATTTGTATTATCTTCTTTTGTAGTCAGTTGTTTATGCAAGAAACAAATTCATTATTCATAAATATGTTGTTAATTAAGTTTTATAGTTAACAAATAATTTGAAGCGGACTTTGTATTTAACAATCGGTTTTAGTTAACAAAAGAAGATTATTATTTGTAATAAGATGATGAATATAATTTTGTTAAATTCAAGAAATCGAGTATATCAAATTATGATGTACAAAAATAAAATTAAATATTAGTAGGTTCTATCATTAGACAAAGCTTATGAAGATAATTTACCAATTGCAGAATGTGGTGACTGAATTATCTTTCCATTTTCTGAAGCGAAAATAGGATTATCAAAACAGCGACGGTTTCCTGTTAATAAGGCAGGTGAAACCATTTTTTTATTTAAGCTCAAATTTTGCTTTTGGTCCAGAAATCTGCATTAAACAAAAATAATTGAAATAATATTTGAATCTGATAAGCATAATTCAGATTAACTTGACATTAAACTTACACCTTATCAGAACTGTTAGAATTACTGCATCCTTCGATTGGAAACATGTTGTTCCGTTGAAGTTTCAGTTGTTCTTTTTCAAAATATGAATAGAGACTGTTGGTCCATTCTCCTACTGCTCGAATATGAAGCCATAAATAATCTAAAAAAACAACAAGATATGTTACTTATTAATATTGTAGAAAATATATAAGTAATATTTAGTACTCAGAGAGCCACTTTCATGTTTATTCAAACCTTCATGTTCTGGAGCACTACTGATTGTGAAAGGATGCCATTCATAACGAGCTATCACAGGAATATTCACAAACACGTAATCACCAGGATGAAAATCGAAATGTGGAGGTCTTTTAATGACCAAATGAGTTACTTTCGATGGTAGCAAAAGTCCTGAACTTATGTATGTTTTTCCTAGTTGAGAACGGGACCAAGCCATTCGTCGAATCCTCTCCAAAAGGTATATGGTACCTGGTCCTATGAACCATTTCCAGAAATTTGGTCCATGTAATATTAGCAATATCCAGAATGGTATATACAACAGGTGTGACCAATAAAATATCTGTAAAATATAAGGGAAGTTTGTTAATGACTGAGAATATATGGATAAAATTTCAAATAGAAATTCCATATACATTCTATAATGATCATAAATTCCTATCAATTAATTATTTATGTAAAATATAATATATTAGTCTGTATGCATATTATAATTTATGACAAAATCAACAATTCTCATAATACATAGCTTCTATGTTTAGAACAGCTTTATTTCATGAACAGAGTAATTCACAGCAATTGAATACTATATTCAATATTATATTTTTTATAATATATGAAATATTATATTCTTTAGATAGACGTGATTAAACAGTTCATATTACATTTCATAAGCATTAGCGTTCTTATTGAATACATATAATGTTTTACCTCAAAGCAGCCCCCTCTGCGAACAAACCGCATTGAACATATTGTCATTATGGCAAGAAGAAAAACGAGAATAACTCCAGTTGGATTTGCATAGCCATCCACGAGACCAAACAGACCTGGTCTATCTGTCAGCAACCATTCAGATAAAGTGTAATTATTTTGATTAAGAATTTCATCGTTTATCACCACTGTACCTGAAAATAGTAAGATGACATATACTTTTAGGACTTCAGAGTTTTGAAACTTCAAGGCTTTTAGATTTCAGAATTTTGAAACTATGGAACTTTTAAGCATAGTTATAAAATGTGTTGCAAAATATGTTACATGTATCTAATACCACATACCTCAAAATTAAAGAACGTACCAAAATTCAACAGATGCATCAGTGTGTGTACCACGCTGAAAACGCCGATTAGAACTCCAGTCATCTTGTGAAGATAAATATGCTGATCTAATGGCAATACAGAATTGAATCCATGTGTTCGTAAGAAAGTAATGCATTGCCTCAACATAAGAACCAAGATGAAGCTGCAGTTAAAATTTAAACACTGTCCTGCATTAAAACATTTATTCCTATTATAATTCATTTTAGCTTTCAATACCTTGGCTATCTTATTACTAATAAAAGGTATTTAATACAAATTTGTGTCAGAATTTATACAGGGTGTTAAAAAAATATTCAGTATTTATATGCTAGATAGGACACACTGTATAGAATAAAAAAACGTTAATTAACAAAGGTCAAAGGGTCATATATCATATACCATATATTACTATATATATGTGAAAGTTTGTAGTTTCTGAGATATAAACATTTTTGTATATTATCATCATTATTGCCTTATTATTGGTTTGATGATATTTATAGGTATTTCTCTTGTCTTTATATTTTCATACACCTATCATAATCATTTCATACATAATCATATTAATTATATTAATTGCAAGGTGACTGTTTACATAGTATTAGTTATAGAATAACTGTTCACGAAGCATCCAGACAAGAGTAGTATTAATTCCTACATTATCGGATATTCTTCGCCGTTTTCAGGATTTTCTTTTACAATTCTTGAAATACAATTCTCCGTTTTGGGTATCGGTACAGAGGTACTTCTGTCAATATTTTCAGTGCAATATTTTTAGAATTTCGAGGTAAACATCGCCCGCGATGATTCAAAAAATACAAAGATATTTATATCACAAAAAGTACGTCTGCCATTGAAGAAATTTTGTTACCACAAGCTCGAGCGAGCATAACATAGCCATTAGATCGTCGATATTCGTAAAGTCTGGAGATGAAGAGAGCCACATTGATGGAGACAAAGATCGAGATGAAGGCAATGTAGACATAATTATTTTTCATGTACGGTTTCGTTAACTGATAAGGTCTCAATGATGCCAGGAAGCCCAAACCAGTCTTCGGTTTCAATTTTGGTTTTGGTGGCACTAACCATCGGTCGATGCTGTGATTTAAATTCAGTTTCAATAATTTTTTGCTATAATTTATGAATCAGTTTCACAGCGAGTTGTGACGTAATGGTTTATTTACCTAATAGAAAGGTTCTCCAATAATCCATCATGTTTTTCTAATTGATTTTTCAAGGCTTCGAACGTGATGGCTCCCCTGTTAGCCTGATCAGCGTCTTCGAATAACGCTATGGTTAATTCCTCGATTTGTTCTTCGCTACACTCTATTCCATTTTCCTCCATGCATGCTCTCATCACGTGTTCCAGTTCACGAAGCTGTATCAATCCATCACCTTTTCCCGAAATAACAAATTTTGGGTTAATATGATTTTACAGGAAATGAAAAATGTAAGAGTATTAGGGAGAGGTTTTATTCTGCTCAACATTCTAAATTCAATTTGATGTAGGCAAATTAAGTTTCTATTAATAATCAATAATACTCGTGAAAATTTGAAACATTAGATAATTAATATCAATGTTGATTAAAATGTTAAATATTTAAATTAGTACTTTTACTGTTATTAACAGGTCTTAAATATATATTCCTAGTATTTCAAATTTAATTAATGTAATTTATATTTAAATAATAAAATATATATGAAAATGCTTTACCATCGATATCATAAACTTTGAAAAGAAATTTGATTTTGTCATCGGGACTCTTCCCCGCGAATTGATTCATCGCGTCAAGAAATTCCTGCAAGGATATGGTTCCAGAATTGTCCTTGTCGAATATTTGGAACACTCTGTCAGTGAAGAATGGCTGAAAGCATAATTTTTCCAGTTAAAAAGTACTTCCTTGACATATTAATTGTATTTTTATCATTTTTGTCTGATCATTATATTTTTTTACTTAATATTTAATGTATTGCTACAGAATGTTTCACTTAAAAGCTTTAATGAAAATTAAAAAAGGAAACGATTTTAAATTGCAAATTTCAAATGAAAAATACTTATGCCTCCTGCCTACGTTCTTCGAAGTGACGATTTTGTTAAATTCTTCGCGCCTTATTTCTTTCTCGTTGCCGACAGTCTGTTTAAAAATTTTTTCCAGCCATTCTAAACTGCGTTTATCAAAACCAGCTCGTGGTCTGCAAAGAACATCACAAAAGATTATTTATAAATCAGATTTATTATATAATAAAAAGTAAATTCTCTCATGAACAAAATATTAATAATAATAAATATTAAATAAATTATAATATTAATATTTTTGGGATATAAATTTAATTGAATTAAAAAATATAAGAAAAGCTTTAAATTTGAGAAACTGTTATATTAATGAAGGTAAAAAGTAGATTAAAAAATACATTGCAAAAAGTCGCTCTATCATACATCTTTTACAAATTAGTACAATATTGTTTACATCAGGTGTCGATATTACCTTGTATCGCTGATGCTTGAAATAAATTCCATAATTTGAGAGGATGTCACGTATCCCACATTTTCTTCATCGATCAGTCGATATAATTTATCTACAATCTATAACATAGAAATTTGTTGAAAACAACTTTGATGATAAAATAATTTATTTATTAATAAATAATAATTTATTGCTAAAAGTATAATATTATATTTCTAATTATTAATTTACTATTTATTTGTTTATCATTTATTGCTATACTATACTATTTATTTATTATAAATATGTAACTTGCAATATTTCAAATTTCATTTCAAATTTGGTTGAATTCTATATTCATAACAAATCAATAAATATTGTTCAGATAGTTTCATAAAAAATTATTATTTTCGTTATTGCATAAAAATGAAAATAAAATAAAATAGAATATTCAAGTAAAAGCATAAAAATATGAAATAATTAAATTATATTATAATAACAAATGAAAACAAAATAGTACAAAATATTTGAGTCAATAAAAATATTAAATAACAGATAAAATTTGTTTTCATTATTATAAACAAATGAAAGCAAAATGAAATTAGATGTTTAGGTAAGTAAATATAATTTGTAAATATTTTATAGAATTTATTTTACACATTTGGTGACAAATTGCAGTATTAAACATTTACCTCCTTAGTAGAGAATATTTGTTGAAATTTCATCAGGCTTATAGGATTTTCGTCGCACAGACTGTATGCAACGCTTTCGATATGGCTAATAAAATCGATATGTTTTTCATTTCTGTAAAAATGATTGAACCTTGTCAATATGTAATACAAATTCATGTTTATCTTTCCAGTATAATATGTATTAAATTAATTTATAATTGTTCTCACGTAAATCTTCCTTTTAAAAATTCGATCCACTCATCTTGTGTCAGCAACATATCCTGATTTCGATCGAAAAGCGAGAACAATTTTCCCAGCAATGTCTGGAATCAAGTTTCATTATTTTTCATTTGTATCAAATTAAAAATTTAAATATTGTTTCTTATTTTAGTTTTACTCTGTATGATATATTTCCCCTTTTGCATTTTGTATTTTCAAATTGCAGAATTATGATTCTTGTTTTATTGTTTTTAGGATTATGCTAACACAAATTCTGAATTTCTTTAATTTTCCATTTACAAGCTCACAAATCTTTTAAATTTCAAAATGATAAGAGCATATTTCATATGCCAATAAATTGTATTACATTTTTATTAAAAACAACCTTAATTATAATTCTAGAATATCAATTTATATTATAGTTGTAGAGTATCCTAACAGAAGTCAAATTGTTCATAGCAAGTGTCGAAATAGGTTAATGATTCTTTAGGAAGAACGAGTTACATGAATTAGCATTAAAAAATACATGGTCCCGTTAAAAAATAGTGAAGTTGACTTTCAGATGTCCTTCACGCCACCACCTACACGAAGCTTATTACCATTGAATTATGTTTCCACTAAAATCATTGACCTTCCATTCGAAACATCTCCTGGCAATACAAATAATTGTTTAGATATCAAGGCAAACGTTACGAATACAAACACCCTGTACAATTATTTAAAAAAATGTATTACAAGTATTGCGAATATTTATGCATATATGATATATCTAAAACTATAAAGAAAACAAATCAAATATTCCATAATGGATCTCCTAAATTATACGGCTTATTTATACTTTGCAGTTTGCAAATCTTGCTACATGCATAAATATTTGCGGGCTAATATATACGTTTTGTTTCTACTGTCTTCTATTTTGATCCCGGCATCTGGCGAGTACGATAATTCATAATTTCTTACGTGTTATCTTCGGTAAATCTTAACCTGAGGAAAACAATAAAGTTATCAATAAATTCTTTTACGTTTTTCTGATTAAAATACGACAAAACATTATATAATTTTGACTATAATTACTGGTTTAATTGACGATAAGTTTTAAACGCAAAGGAAGATAGCGGGTGGAAAAGAGACTGCGATTATATCAGTCAAAAAACATCAAAACCCTGTTTTATTATTTGCAATACAAATGTGCCGTTAACTTTTTTATTTTCAGTCTTTTTTTCTATTCAACTTTTCCCAACTAATTAGTGACATTTTCTTCATTAAAATGAGACCAAACACAATATAATTCAAGGCATATTTATTTGTAATAATGAACAGAAATAAAACCCTCGAAGATAGAGCTAAGTCTACGATTTCGACTGTCAGATGCATCACGTGATTATCCGAATAGCACCGAAGAAAAGCGAAATTACTCGACATGTCATTCCGCGTCTGTTTACCGCGAATCTTACTACGGTAAAACATCTATATAAACAAAACGCTTGAAATAAGTAAATATATTATGAATTACGTCACGTTTAGTCTCATTTTAATCAGGAAAGTATCACAAATATGTCGGTAAGAAGTTTCATAACAAAAACATCAAAAATAAAAAAGTTCTTGCATTAAAATTGTTCCAACGATGTGTTCACTACAGTATTCTCTCCGTAAATGTTAAAAAGATCTCTACCGAAAATGTTAAAATTGTATCCCCACTACTGGGGGGATCCCCCTCGAAATCAGTCAAGAATGAAACACGATCGGTCGCCAAAACGACGAGGATCGAATATCGGTGAGACACATATTAACGCAAGCAAAGGAAAAGATTGTAACTTTCTTATTTCTTACTATTTTTTTATGAAACTTTTACTGTTGTATTTCTCTAGATTTCCTGATTAAAATGACACCAAACATAATATAATTACGTTTACAATTGCGTGTGTAACGAGTGATTAAAGTTTTTAACATAAAAGAGGCGAACGTAGAAAGAGACAGCGATACAAAAGACAAGGAGGGATAGAGTTTTGAACGATCGGCAAACATTGAAAGACTCGTGCGTGTTCTGTCTTTTAAATTCAAAAGTCCAAATTCTGTATTTTTGGGTTTTCGTTAATGAAGCTTTGATTATTGTATTCGTCTCGTTTTTCTGATTAAAATGGTACCAAAAAAAAAATACGCCGACTTTGAAATGCACTAAAAAGTATAAAATAAAATAATTTTAAGAAAAAAAATACGCCGACTTTGAAATGCACTAAAAAGTATAGAGCAATTCGCACCTCTACCGTAAATGTTACATCCCAAACTTTCATGGCTTGTTACATAAGTAATTACGATCGTAATCATATCGTGTTTGGTGTCATTCTAATCAGAAAAACGAGACAAATACGATGGTAAAAGTTCCATTGACGAAAAACCAAAAATAAAGAATTTTAATTTTTAAATTTAAAAGACAGAACACGCACGAGTTTTTCATGTTTGCCGAACGCTCGAAACTCTATCCCTCCTTGTCTTTTATATCGCTGGCTCTTTTTACGTTCAGCACACAACAAAAAATGTAGGACCTCTACCGTAAATGTTACAATCGAGACCGGCAAAAGTAACATTTACGGAAAGAATACTGTATTTGTTTACGTTCGGTAGTTCGGATATTCCTGTCATTCGCTAAACTTCGGTAAATGTCGGAACTACATGATGTAAACGAAAGTTCGTATCCGAAAGATTCGCTTATATCCAGACTCTACAGTGACGCGTTAATCGTGTAGTATGTGACGATAATCATGAATAATGTAATTATTATATGAATTCTGGGCCGAAGTGACCAAGACCACGACCAAATAACGAGAATCGAAGACCCTCGAGGCGTGTGAAGGCTTATTGGCCCCCGGCGATCAACCACCTTGATCGAAATCTTTGGTCCTCGATAGAAATCCCGTTGCCATTATGCTTTGATCCCGTCATACCTTGTCTCCGCTGGGTATCCTTTTCCCTTGAGCGAACAGATTCCTCGGTGTTAAGTCATTCTCCACTCGATTATCTCTTTCACCTTGCTGTTATTTACTTTTAATGGTAACGCGACCTTGTCTTATTTCCTATCCCTCGATTTCTTCGACTTTTCGGTTCTCCTTGCAAAGTGGTTTATCCCCGGATTACAAAGTTATCGAATTCGTCATTTTTCAAGTTTTCACGTTTGTACATTTTTATGCTGTTCTCAGATTTCTAAATTCGAACATTTTTTCTGCCCTTCTAACTTGGTAATTTGACATTTCTATATTTATAAATTTCTTTTTGAATTTCTATATTTGCAAATTTTTATGCTATTAGATTTTTAGATTTTGAAATCGAACATTTTTAATTTTAAGTTTTTTAAATTCGGGAATTATTCCTGTATTTCTATGCATCTAATTTCGTAGATTTCTAAATTATCAAAATTCGAAATTTACAAATTTTTAAATTCTCAAGTTTTTCTATTACCATATTTCTAAATTTCTGAGTTGAACAATTTGATAAATTAAAATTTCAAAATTCGAAAAATGATCATATTTTATCATTACCATATTTCTAAATTTCTGAATTGGAGAATTTGAGAAATTGAAATTTGAAAATTTGTGAAATAGAAATTTGAAAATTTGTGAAAACGAAATTTCAAAATTCCAAAAATCAAAATTTCAAAATTTGTGAAATGGAAATTTGAAAGTTCCAAAAATCAAAATTTCAAAATTTGTGAAATCGAAATTTGAAAATTCCAAAAATCAAAATTTCAAAATTTGTGAAATCGAAATTTGAAAGTTCCAAAAATCAAAATTTCAAAATTTGTGAAATGGAAATTTGAAAGTTCCAAAAATCAAAATTTCAAAATTTGTGAAATGGAAATTTGAAAGTTCCAAAAATCAAAATTTCAAAATTTGTGAAATGGAAATTTGAAAGTTCCAAAAATCAAAATTTCAAAATTTGTGAAATGGAAATTTGAAAGTTCCAAAAATCAAAATTTCAAAATTTGTGAAATGGAAATTTGAAAGTTCCAAAAATCAAAATTTCAAAATTTGTGAAATCGAAATTTGAAAGTTCCAAAAATCAAAATTTCAAAATTTGTGAAATCGAAATTTGAAAATTCCAAAAATTAAAATTTGTAAATTCGTAAAAGCAAACACTTTTAATTACGTGCACCGTGCACGTCGGTGCCAGTGAGTTCTTTCACGCGCACTAAATCTGCCCATCGTTAATCTTCACCTCCAAGGTTTGCTAACATAACACCATTCATAAACAGTTCATCGATAAAAAAGAAAATTGCTTACCTGATCCAATAAAAGTTGTCTAAACGTCTCCCTATTATAACGAGCTACTCCATTCACCCCGATTATATGCGAACATTCTTCTAAAATATTCGATCTTCTTCTTTCCATCAAATATTCGTCTTCCGCGCGATTGACTTCACCTTCCATTTTTCTTCTCACTGTCTTCATCGAATCAACAACAAATTTATCAAGTCCAAACAAATTCGATCACTTTACACATCAATGTTTAGTTCTTAATCACGATCCAGGTCTTTGAGATTATGCACACAATATCAAATTCTCAAATTTTTACAGAAAAACTTTTTTGTAGTAATGAAATATTTAGGTGACAGATTAATTGAAATTTAATCAAACTTGTAGTTATTAAATTAACAAAAATTTATTTTTGATTAAATTAAGAAATAGTTTAGAAAATATGAAGCGTCAAAATAAAATTAAACGTATAATTGTTATTTTATCTTTGAATAAGAATGAACAAATTTGTAAAAAATAAATAAGAGAAATTTTAATCATACTTGAATTGTCGCAAAATCGTCCTTGCGATGTTTTTAAACAATAATTAAAAAAAAGTACAATTATAAATGAAAGTAATATAAAATTTAAATTATCATTTACTTTTAATATATTGCAATGTTAAGTTAGAACTAAAAATACAATTGAAAATAAATTTATAATTTAATTAAACAATTTTATTTATAAATAACATTCAAATTTTCTGATTTACACTTCACCGTTGCTGAGACGTCACTTTTAAATGAATTGACTACAATAATCGCCTAAGTTTGGTAAGAGACATCATCCATCACGTATCAATACATTATTTATTTAATTGAGTATGATTTTATTGTATCATTTGAGGGAATGAAGAAGAAGAAGAAGACGAAGATAGTGTTTGAGATACACTGTGGTTCACCATTTGCCAAGCAACTGGATCGAGCGATGGCGGGTAACTGACGAACGAAAATCATCGATTCGAATCGCGAGAGATCGCTGTATGTATTCTGTTAATCTATTCCGGTAATTTTCAGAAGCACGATGTGCCAAGGAGAGGGATGCCTTTCGATTTCAATAAAGATCCAACGTTCGAACGGCGATACAGACAGATGTACAAACAGACAACCTTTCACTTCTTCGTGAGTCATTCGTTTCTTTTTTTCATTTGTCCCTTCCATTTCTTTTTCCTTCGACAACTTTCTTCGTATTCTTCTTTTTACCCTTGATAAATGCTCCCTTTACTCGATTTCGTTCACCACTTTTATTTTACCTTTATCATATAAAACTCATTGAAAGTAACGTTAATTGTTTGAAATTAATTATAATGTTAATTGTATAAAACTGATTGTAAGTAATACAGATTGTATGAAACTAATTGTAAGTTACATTGACTGTGTTAAACTAACTGTAACTAATATTAATTGCATAACACTAACTATAAGTAATATTGATTGTATAAAACTGATTGTACATAGTAATTGTATAAAATTAATTGTAAATATCATTTGATGTAGGAAACTAATTGTATAACACTAATTATAAGTAATGTTGATTGTATAAAACTGATTGCAAGTAACATTAGTCGCATAAAACTAATTGTAACGCTAATTATAACTAACATTGATTGTACAAATCTGATTGTAAGTAACATTAGTTGCATAAAACTAATTGTAACACTAAATGTATAACACTAATTATAAGAAACATTGATTATATAAAATCAATTGTATAATGTTAATTGTAAGTAACATTAGTCATATAAAACTAATTGTAAGTAACACTAAATGTGTAACACTAGTTATAACTAATATTGATTGTACAAATCTGATTGTAAGTAACATTAATTGTATAAAATTAATTGTAAGTAACACTGATGGTATAAAACTAATTGTAAATAACATTGATTATATAAAATCAATTGTATAATGTTAATTGTAAGTAACATTAGTCGTATAAAACTTAATTGTAAGTAACACTAAATGTGTAACACTAGTTATAACTAACATTGATTGTACAAATCTGATTGTAAGTAACATTAATTGTATAAAATTAATTGTAAGTAACATTGATGGTATAAAACTAATTGTAAATAACATTGATTATATAAAACTAATTATAAGTAACATTAACAGTTTAAAACTAATTGTAACCATGTTTGTTGAAAGATAATTGCAGTACCTGCAGGTAAAAGTATGTGAAATTTCAAGGCTAAAAATATTGTAGGTATCGATATTTGATGTGAACGATATTGTAAACATGATCTACAGTTACAATGTTATTCGTATCGGGTGTCGATATATCTGGCTTACAACATTGTAATTTCTGTTACAGTTTTACAACTATAATACAAACTTAGCAATAAATAACGTTTTTTTTTGGAACAATACCGTAATTTCGATTACTATTAATTTCGCCTATATTACAAAAAATACTTATATGTGTTGTAACTGTTATTTATATTGTACAAATTTTGTACGGAAGAGCATACGTTTTATTATAGAAGAAAAAGACAAGATTTTTTAGAATATTAAATGATTTCAGGTAGAAACTCGACTTTCAGGTTTAAGTATACTAAACGGAAATTTCTCTATCTATGTGTTGCAAGTGTTAATGTCGACGTATGTAGTCAGATTCTGTGATCGTAGGACCGTTCGAAAACCGGAATTGCCTAAACTTTTATCGATTATAATGTATCTGCTGGACTGAGAAAGATAGGCAAAGCATCGTCACAAAATTTCAACCTTTATGATCTTTCAAATTACCACCTTCTTATTTTGTCAGTATTGTATAGCATTTATTACCGGTAATTTCTTTTTGCACGGTTAATTATAACTTTTTTAAACACATTTTTATTTCAGACACGTTACTTATTTTTAATACAAAATTAAATGTACTATAATTTTCTTAAAATCGTTAAATTGTTAAATAAAAAAAATAATTATATATTTTTTAATAGCATAATATTTGTGCATATAAATTGGCGAATAAACATTTTACATATACATAACGATAACTGATCATCAACTTAGAGTTCATTTTGTGTAATTATAAGTTACGAATGATTTATGACCCTCGTGCTTCTGTTTTAAACCTTTAATGAAGCATAAAGTGAGTGCATTTTTTTGCAACTTTCACTTTTAACGATATGGTTAACGAGAGCATTATTTCTGAACTGTCAAAACCTTATAAACCGTTGGATAAGTACGCGAAGATTGGTTTATTATGTACAACTGTAAAATTTGACGAATACAGTAGTTAAATACTTTGTTATAATGTTATTGTATACACTTGACAATGACATTGTTGATAAATATGTTTAAAACAAAATTAAATAATTACCTTAGTCAGTCCAATTAATTAGGCAAATACTTTAACTTTTTAACCACAATAATTAACAATAACCTTTATGTTATACAGCTTTTGGTTACAAAAAAGATGAGAAAGGAAGAAACTTACGAAATTTATTCTTCGATCGTTCATATATTCAATCCTTTGTTCAAAACAAAAATTTCTATTATAGTAAAAAAACTATGTTACGTACCATACCGTGTAAAGTACCATTCTATGTATAAACGTCGATTAAAAGAAAGTATAATTGGGAAAGATAGTACAAAAATTGTAGTAAAATATGCAATTTATTTATATTTGATAAAATACAATTGCAGTGTGCATCATTTGTAACCTATTTCCAATAGAGTATTAATATTTTGTCTTGTTTCGTAATTGCTTTTGTAGCGGCGAATAGTGTCAAATTATCCAGAACCATATTAATATTCAAATGTAGCATATTATGCAACTAAAATCACTGTGACAATTTTTCTCATTAAAACTACGTGAAAGTCATTTACACAAGAGTACTTGTTTTGCAGGTAACATTTACCAGAGCATACTGCTACTAAATCCGGTAGAACAGGAAATTAGTACTATGAGGTGCCAGGTACGAAAATAATATATAAAATAAAAAAGTGTACTTAACCTAATGTTCGGTCGAGTTTCTCGAATAAAATGATAGAAAATGGTCGTTTCTGGTAGTGAACGAAAATGAGAAATTATTTCATAACAATCTACAATCTATATTATGAAGAATCAGAAATAAACAGTTATGATGCAGTCAATGTCTCAATTTATAAATCTTCGTTCGTAAATTTTGTATGGAATATTTCTTCATGTTTATAATCAGATAGTAAGCATGTTAGTTTTCCACATATTAAAAACAATGTTAATAGTGAAATAATACATTATTTTTAACTATATTACAATTACAAATTGTGGTATTACTATCAATTCTGTAGACGTACTTCAGAAAAATGATTTAAGGAACTATACAGGGGTACCAATTACCTTATTTGTGCTTTAAATTTATGTAAATTAACATTCTTTTATAATTGAATTTTACATTCTTATTGTTAGTTAAATCGCAAATTTAATTTGTAAATATATGGTGAAAAACAACAGTCTATTGTGAAAAGTATTTAAAAATCTTCAGTATTACATATTTTTTAAATTTAAAAATTACGCGCGCTTTCTGAAAACAGTGCATCTCGTGCCATCTGATGGAAGATGATAAGATTACAAAAAACAAACAATATATTATTGGAAAATAAAGTTTAAAGTGTTTTGAAAACTTTAGTTCCCCATGTTCTTTAAAGTTTATATTTATGCTCGCTCTGAATCTGAATTTTTTAAAAAGTCGTACTTACCGACGATTCAACAATAAAAACCAATAGTTATCGACGTATTTGAATTTATACTATGATAGTAACCAGGAGAGAATTCTTTAACTGTCATATCGGCTGGGATTATATCTGAAACTTCATCTTTACATCAAAATGCCTTTAAGTACCAAAAAACTGGAATTATCATTATATACAAACATGTAAAATGAAATTTCTGAATTTATTATTTTAATACTGCAGCAGTTTAAAATTTCAAGCTTTCCTTCATAATTTTCAGTCCACAACGGAAAATGTACTCCAGTGTACTTTCTAGCTATTCTGTAGTTATGGATTACAGTTTAAAATTGTATACGTATGAATTGCAATTACTGTTTAAAATTAATTCAATCTTTAACATTAATAATAGAAGATTAAAATAAAGGAACTTGTAAAATTAAAAAAAAAATAATAATTCTTATCAGAATTTATGTTGAAGTATCAAAGTAGAATTTGATTTGAAGAGGTAAGTAATTAATTACTGACAATGCAAGATGAATATCTTCATTATTATTAATATATATTGTTAACATAATACAGTTAAATAATAAGTCAGACAGTAAGGAAATTATTTATTATACAAAGTTACTTAAAGTAATTTACTTTTTCTTATATCAGTTTTTCTGAATTATCTATGAAACATGTTTGATATTAATAGTACATCATTAGTATTTTGTTTAGGGGAACAATGCAAAGGTCTTTAAGATTAAAACGCGAACTTGAACGACTTGCTCAGCATCCTTCAGAAGGAATTTGCTGCTTTTCAAAATCTGATGATCTTGAAAATTTAGTGGCAACGATTATTGGACCACATGGAAGCCCATACAGTGGATGTATTTTTCAGTTAGAAATTAACATATCTAAGCAATATCCATTTGAACCTCCACGGATTACTTTCCAGACACCTATTTACCATCCAAATATTGATAACAAAGGTCGTATTTGTATGGATCTATTAAACATGCCACCTAAAGGTAGTTGGAAACCAACTATCGGTTTGAAAAATTTATTAGATGCTGTACAATGTCTATTAGCAAATCCAAACCCTGATGATCCTCTGATGGCAGATATAGCACAAGAATACAAATTTAATAGACAAGAATTTGAAAAAAAAGCAAAAAGATTTGCAGAGAAAACAAAGAAGAGTCTTTCTTAATTAAGTGTAAGTATTTCATCTTTTTAAATATTTAAAAAGATAAGAAAAATATAAGAAAATACATATTTTAAATATAAAATATAATTAGCAATATCTCTAATAAAATAAAATATAATATAATAAACTATATTTACCAAGTACCATGATTTTTCAAACATAATGTCATTGTTTTCACTTTCAGCACAATATTTATTAATTAATAAATTATTAGTTAAGTTAAATTAAAAAATAAATCGTATAAAATATATTTAAAAAAAGTCAATTAAATTGAATTAAGAAGAAAGTATAGATTTATACAATAAAATAGTTCAGTATTAATTATGCTTAATAAATTTCATACTTTCAAAACTAAGTTTACAATTTATCATACTATTTATATTATTGAATGTAATAAATAAAAATCAATAAAAAGTATATACATACATACAACATTCATTAAAATTCATTCACCTGCTTCAAAAAATAAAGTTTTCTGTAACAAGTCTAAATGTAATGTAATGTTTGTAATAAGCGAACCATAGTATTATATTAGTTTAAAAATATAAAATAAAATAATTTAAAAATAACTCCTGGAAATAGTAAAGTGGTATAAATTCGTAACTCGCGATAAATTCATTAAAAATCACAGAGTCTGCTAATTTCGAAATTTAAAAGTTGACAAATTTTGGAATCAAGGAATTTGAAAATTTTTAAATTATGAAATTTTGGGGATTGAAAATTTAAAAAACTCACAATTAACTGTTCGCTCAATGAAAACTTAGTTTTACTAAAACGACTACATCGCCCTCTAGCAATACGACGATGAATGTAACAAGTCTTTAGTAAATACCATTGAACGGGTCTCCTCGTCTTGTCAACAGCAACGTACTTGCACATCAATTTGCGAATCAATAGTTTGCAAATGCAAGTAATAATATCGTATACATACAAAAAAATCAAAACAGAATAATTTAAAAACAATAAATCGTATTAAGAATAAAGAATTTTTCAAAATGTTGAAGTGAGTCACTCGATTCAATTTTTATGGAATTATATTTTAGCTTGGAAGGAAATTCCGGAAGTCGAGTCAACCGCCATTTTGTGTTCGTTGAACAGGATAAAGACTCTGTAAATGACGGCTTGATTCATTCTGAATAATCTTCGTGTAATTATTGTTCTTTTGTTTTTTTCTTCGTCATTCGTTCGGCTTTGCCGTGTTAAGCAGCGTTGATGATTGGGATTCCGCGTGACGATCGACATAAGATCACGGTTAAAATCCGCAACAATATGAAAAGAAGCTCCAGCCGAGATACTCCACCTCCTCGCGTCAAACGGAGCAGATCTTCTATGGGACGGTAAGATCTATTCAGTGTTCGTTAAAATATATATATCTAAAAAAAAAATGTTACATGAAGTACAATTTTTTTTTATACCACAATTCTGAAATTTATTATATTTAATTTTTTAAGGATATAAAGGTAATAAATGGATATATTTCATAATTTTTCAATTTCTTATCCTTTTGAGAATTAAAAAATACTTTTGTTATATTAAAATCTGTTCCATTAATTTACAGATACGATGATTCTAGTGATGAACGAATAACTCCTGAAAGAATTCGCCGTCGTAGTAGTAGAGGTGCAAGAAGTCCTAGTCCGCCGACGCGTGCCTCCTCTCATGCTCGATACGTAGAATCAAGTTCTCACAGAGATGATTATTTAAGAGCACCTAGAGAATTACCTCCAGAACGCCCGTACAGTTACAAAGTTCTTTGTATCAGTTCAATTCATCCAAAAGCAAGTGATGAGGTGATTAAGGATACTCTTTACAGAGAATACAAAAAGTTTGGAGATTTTTCCATTAGAATTTCTCATGAGCTAGATGAACGTGTTGCATATGTTTGCTTTAGAAGTTCAGAAGATGCTAGAGATGCAAAACATGCTAAACCAAGAATTATTATGTATGATAAAGTAGCACTTGTTGAACCAGTTTATGAGAGACCTGACACTTACCGTCGTCCACGTTCGATTACACCACCCGATTACGAAAGATATTATGCTAGAAGTCCTGGTCCAACAGACAGACACAGACCTTTAGAACGATATGAAAGAGTTTATGGACCTCCAGTTGGATTACCTCCACCACATAGAGAAATGAGACGTGAAGCAATTCCACCACCTCATCATGATTTTGTTCGACCTCCAATTCATCATGGACCACCTCATGTTCATCCTGGACCACCTCATCATTATGGTCCACCAAGACACATGATGATAAGACATCCAGTCCACGGATTTGAGCGAGTGGAAAATAAAAAGGATAAATTCCCTAATTATTTACATCATGTGTCTCCAGAAGATGATCCGCTTGCAACAAGAACTCTCTTTGCAGGGAATTTGGAAATCAATATTACAGAAGAAGAATTGAGGAGAATTTTTAGTAAATATGGAATTGTTGATGATATTGACATTAAGAGACCTCCACCAGGGACAGGAAATGCTTATGCTTTCGTCAGATTTCAAACTTTAGATATGGCACATAGGTGTAAAGTTGAACTTTCTGGACAATACATAGGAAAATTCCAGTGTAAAATTGGTTATGGAAAAGCCACACCTACTACAAGAATTTGGGTTGGCGGTTTAGGACCATGGACTTCTGTACCACAATTAGAAAGAGAATTTGACCGATTCGGAGCAATAAAAAAAATTGATTATATAAAAGGCGATAGTAACGCTTACATTTTATACGATTCGATTGATGCTGCTCAAGCAGCTGTTAAAGAAATGAGAGGATTTCCACTAGGCGGCCCTGACAGAAGACTGAGAGTAGATTTTGCAGATGTAACTCCTGGATTTGGATTTAAACCAAGACCTTATCCAGAAGAAGGTGGAGAATTTAGACCAAGGCCAGTAGATTATGAACCATCTTATGATCCTTACGGACCAGACAGTGACTTTGGTTATGGACCAAGAGGGTTTAGAGGTAGGGGATCTGCTCCATGGCATGAAAGGAGAGGTGGAGGAAGAGGAGGTTATCGCGGAAGTTATCCTGAAAGTTATATGAAAGACGAAGCTGATTGGTCTAGTCGCAGGCCACCTCCAGAGTTAGAATATGAAACTCCACGAGGTTTACGTCGGTCTTTGTCAAGAGAGCCTGGTGTAGATCGATCACGATCAAGATCTCCCCGTAGAAGACAAATTGATTCAGATTCAGACTCCGAAAATACTCGTAGTGGAATGCTTTCTACTTCCAGAACGCTACCTGAAGTTGCCAGAAAATCGATAGCAGTTTGGCAAGGAGCATTAATTTTAAAGAATTCTCTGTTTCCAGCTAAATTTCATTTAACCGATGGTGATACAGAAATAATTGAAGCTTTGATGAAGGATGAAGATGGAAAACACATGCTAAGAATTACACAAAGACTACGTTTAGATCAACCAAAATTAGACGATGTGTCAAAAAGAATTCAAACTTCTAGTTCGCATGCTATTTTCTTAGGATTGGCTGGTTCAAGTACAGTTATTTCTACAGATGATGCAAATGTGCAAACGAGACCCTTACGCAACCTGGTATCATATTTGAAACAAAAAGAGGCGGCTGGAGTTATTTCACTGCTTAACAAAGATACAGAGGGAACAGGAGTACTTTATGCGTTTCCACCTTGTACATTTTCTACAGAATTACTAAAGAGAACATGTCCAAGCCTCAGTGAAGAAGGACTCAAGGAGGATCACCTGGTAATCGTCGTTGTTAAGGGGGGTAGCGCCTAAGTTTTCTTTATAATCAAGAGTTAAAACATACACATGCATATACTGACTAGAGTGTTTAGTATCATCACATTGAAAACATTATTTACAGCTTTGAAAAACTGCTTTATATGTAACATTTTTAATAAGCCTATACTGTGAATCACATTTTCTATACTTAATTTTCATAAATAATTAATTTTAATATAATTTTAAGATTTGTAAAAATAAAATGGTTAATAGCCATGTAAAATTATTTTAAATATTGCAATGCATAACATTTACTGAAATTTTCTATTTCAGAAACGAAAATGAAGTATAGTAAACTTATTAATATGAAGTAATGAATATGAGAAAAACAATTCAATTTAATAAATTTAGAAGTCTAAAATTAAATACAAGTAAACAATACTATACATTTTTTTAATAGATAACGTAATTATGGAGTATGAAAATAGATTAAAATGAAAACTAAAAAGAACATAAAAAGTTGGTAATTAAGTTTGAATACAAATTATATTAAATTCAAATACAAATTATGTTAAACTTAAACAAATTACCAGATTAAAAATTAAACCTTTTCACTGTATTAATGTAGGAACTTTTAACAGTACTAATTTCTATAAATAGAATAATATTTTATGTAAATAATTTTGTTTGATTTATAAGTATTGCAAATGTTAGGAAACGAAGATATTAAACACACAAGCTTGTATATGCATCAAAAATATTACATTTCTATGAGCCTGAATTGCTTGAACAAAAATTAAGTTGAAATAATAATAGTAATAGTAGAATAAATTTGACATAAAATATTTTTTTAATTCATTATCGAATGTTCTGATTAATACCTGTTGTAGTACCTTTTTTAATTGTAATTTTTTATTTCTCTCGTTATTAGTATCCAAGCAATTCAGAATTCACTAGGTTTTGACAAAAATAATTAATTAAGTTTTCCTAATTATCACAGGTAATTTGTAAGAATTTTAGAATTAGTTTATACTAGAATTACATATTCTTATGCGTATATATACAGTTCTTTCATATTCAAATGAAACCCTTTCAAAAATTTTTTAATTTGATTATTCTTTATCGTAACATTTTATATTGAAATATAAACATAAATCAAGATGAAAATAGAATATGAAAGATCTGGTTGAACTATATTTGATACAATAATTAAGTCTAGATAATTGTAAAATTGCATTTTATGAATCTATAGAATTATCTGTGTGATATATATATATACATATATATATGTATAATAATTACTTACATAAGTGAATTGTGCGGACGTGTTCTGAAAAGTGAACTAAAGAAAGTGAATGGACAACATCCTAAAATGACCCTCTGTGCTTTTTTCTCAGTGAAAAAGGGCAGAATTGTTTTCTTAAAGGGACAGTGTTTGGTGATGAATATTTGAAAAGCATAGAAGAAAAAAAACAGAACGTGTACAGTGAAATGTAAAACAAATCCAAGTGTTTGTGCTTGACGACCAACACTGTGACGCTCTTTTAAAATAATATTTTAAAAGTGCGTTACAGTATGGCGCAACCAAAGGTGCAGTGGTTTAATCACACAGTAGTGTTGCAGCAACAAATAGATGACCATTTCGCTGAGTCAATGCATTCATTATTCCTACTTCACCTACCAAAGTTTCAGTGGCGTCAAATGAAAAAAATCATTGTTACGTTAGAAATGTAAATAATTTTAACAGGAAGATGCGTTAATAATTTCAGTGGTATTTAAAGATATAACAACTAGAACAGAGTTCACTAGAACAGAGAAATTTTCCAGGAAGAAATATTTTGGTTAATTTCAGTGGGATTAACAAAAAATTTGTTATGTAGACAGCTTAGTTATGTCACTTCAAAAATGCATGCTGTGACTTGGCATATAGTCACATGGGTTTTGAACACAAGTTTTCTCGTGAAGTTGATCGTGAATTTGGTGATGTGGTTTTTCTTGTTTTGTCAAGAAGATTCTTCCCATCTTGCTTAGATTGATTGTGCAATTAGTGTTTTCTGTGGTCTGTGGCCATTTCTGGTTCTTAATTTCTAAACAGTAATCTAACATTAAAAGGAAAAAATAGAGTTTCTATATTTTGATTTTCTCAAAAACATTTGTGTCAAATTTAAAAGTGAAGAATAGTCTGTGCTGTTTCAGTGTATTCTGTTAAATTCTTTTTAAATTCATTAAAACTTTTAAATCTATTAAAATTAAAGAAACAAAAAAGAAAGATTTGTTTCAGAGCCACCGTGACGAAAGGATAGAAGGATAGAAGAATCCATCTACCATCTACTGTATTTTACATGTTGTATGAATAAATCACATAAATTGGCAAATATTTTGCAGCTCAATTTTTTTAATATTGGAAGATACATGTAAAATAAAATTATATTAATCCACTATACACCAACTTAAGAACTTAATAATACTATTTAACATAGAAAGTGAAAAAAGATTTGTAGTATATTAACAAATAACTTACAATCTTAAAAATATATCTTTGTAACATTGATAAATTCCATTATTGCATATTTTAAACATATCATTTGATACTTAATTTTTCACTTCTCTACGATTGAAATAAATAATTTCAAGTCGTATAATTATCTATTTATAAATTAATCATCAATTTGGAATAAAAAGAGATTAATTTTTCAATTCCACAATTGAAAACTCATAAATTTAATAAAAAAGATAATTACAAATTTATATCCTAATTCTCTCGTAGTGCATTTAATATACTTTTATATCTATAAAATGAAGATATATGATTTCGCTTGGAAGAGGAGTTCTTTTAAATATCACAAACCAATATATCTAACATGCTTGGAATAAATAAAAACTCATCGTTCGAAAAGTCCTACATAGTGAAGTATATATAATTTTATTTTTATAATTTAAATAACGTTATTAAAGTAACATCAAGTACTAAAAATTCTAGACAAATTTTCATAAAATTGGTTTTATTTCTACTAAAATATGATTCACTTACAGAACATAACCTTAAAAGTATAGGTTAAAACTGTTTGATTTCTAAATAACGAATTATATGTAGAATCACAATAATTTTCAAAATATTTAATTTCTTGTCTACAATTAATTGATATTAACAAGCCGAAAGTTTCGATTCCGTTTCATTAATTCTTGTCAGTTACTTATCCATGAAATGTGAAGAATAAAAAAAAAACTTTCACAACGTGTGTGTATATGCGTATATAAATAACAGTCTTCATTAACCTTTTAACTGGAATTTAAGATCATATATATACATTTGAAGAGGAATTCATATTAAATGCATTAATTTAGTACATTCCATTATCATTAATGAACTTGTAACAGAAAGTACACGGAAACCTAAATTTTTGTATTTAATTTGTTTTTTATAAATTATTTTAAAAACTCAAATTTTTAATCTTATTATAATTAAGAATTATAAATAGTATATTTGTAACAACTATTATATTGTATATTCTAAAGTTGTTTTGAAAGGATAAACGGTAATTGAATTTAGAATGAAAAATTTAACACATAAGTAATTATAAAAATATCGGACTATTTGAAAAATTTTGTGCTTTGAAAGTAAGATTAATATGAATTAAGTAAACCTAAAAAGTTAGATGTAATTTACAAGGGAACATTTACAGCAAATATACCGAACCTTCTATATTGATAATCGATACTTTTAACTGCAATATTTACTAACATTTTAGTTTCATCTTAACTTTTCAATTTTCTATTTATAAATTTAACACCAAAGATTAATGGTATGAAACAATATAATATTTTGTTACATTTAAAATGCATCATTTTTAAATAATTGTTTCTTAATTAAAATATATTCATGATCTAAATTAAGGAAGTTCTCTTTAGCAAAATATGTCATAAATATCATTTTAAAAAATCATTACATTAATAAAACAAAAAAAAAAAAAAAAAAAATGTATATTGTATATTCTAAAGTTGTTTTGAAAGGATAAACGGTAATTGAATTTAGAATGAAAAATTTAACACATAAGTAATTATAAAAATATCGGACTATTTGAAAAATTTTGTGCTTTGAAAGTAAGATTAATATGAATTAAGTAAACCTAAAAAGTTAGATGTAATTTACAAGGGAACATTTACAGCAAATATACCGAACCTTCTATATTGATAATCGATACTTTTAACTGCAATATTTACTAACATTTTAGTTTCATCTTAACTTTTCAATTTTCTATTTATAAATTTAACACCAAAGATTAATGGTATGAAACAATATAATATTTTGTTACATTTAAAATGCATCATTTTTAAATAATTGTTTCTTAATTAAAATATATTCATGATCTAAATTAAGGAAGTTCTCTTTAGCAAAATATGTCATAAATATCATTTTAAAAAATCATTACATTAATAAAACAAAAAAAAAAAAAAAAAAATGGAAATACATTACATGAGTGATCAAATACTGATTGATGCACATGATCTAACAATTAAGAGATAATTTCTACGTGATTTAGTATGTATATATGTTGTATACACAACGCACGCGTGCGCACACATGCACATTGCACAAACACGCACGTTTGTTATGTATATATAATATACTTATATATCCAATTGTTTACTTTCAAGGTTTACAATTTAGGAAAAGTATCTAAATAAATATCAATGTTACTCTTTCTCTTATTACTTAAAAATACAGTTATGGCATCATATTATGACTGAATATCTATAAAAATTAGAGTCCCTTTTGGCATTCTTATTTTAATTGCAATCATTGTAAAGCTTTCCCAGCACGAAAAGAAATTTATTCTTTCCAATCTTTCTTAATTTCAAATGACCATTCCCACTTCAGATGTTCATGTTTGTCATCGTCAGTAAACAACGAGCTTACACTATAAGAACCACGTGCCATTACGCCAGCTGGTGCATCCTCCGTTGGAGTAGTATATGATTGTACTTCTGTTTTTGGTGGATAAGAACCTACCATATGCATCATCTTGTCCACTGAAAAACAATGTTAGTAATTAATATTGTAATATCCATAAACTAATTTTGTACATATCAAATCTTAAAAGTACCTGTTACACCTATTTAGGAAAGCATTAAACAAAAACCAAATATAACAGATTAAGCTTACAATTTAAAATAAATATAATTCCAAGCTCTAAATTAATCATGAAAAGGTTATTAAATTATTAATATTTAATTTTCAACAAAGACCTTACCAGGTACTCCAAGGCGGTAAGTTTTTTGAACATATTTTAGACCATGTACAATTTCACGTTGCACAATGAAGTCAATCCTGATTCTGTAACTAACACCTTCTTTTATTACGAACGTTTGTTTCTTTAGCTGGGTAAGATCACCTGTTAAATCTAATTCCATATCTGGTCGATCTGCTACACAAAGTGCTAATTTCTTAACTATTACTTTTCTTGGATCATTTGGATCTATAAGGATTTGTTATATTATTCTCCTGTTTTTTCTTCTTCTATTTGATATATTTTAAACAATTAACAAAATGCCCACCTACAATAACGCCTCCTGATTTTGCTTCCCCTAAAAGCGTTTCTTTATATTTACGTAAACTTTCATCTTCCTTGTCTGCTTCTAAAATTTGCTCTATTGTTTTTTCTGGTGGAGGTTTGTAATTAGATTCTACTTCTAGTTCCTCTTCCACAGAGTCAATGTGATCCGTATTGATCTCTGACATTTTTACTACGATAAAGATATGTCAATATGTTGTTAATACTGTATTTAATATAATTAAAGCAATTATTGCAAAATTTTAATGTATCATGCAACAGGTACTGTAAAAGCCCTATTTACTTGAAACAATTCTGTTTGTATTAAAAAACTATTCAAGTACAGGTACAAAAATTGTAGTTGTTAACCTTAAAAGTATAATTGATGTGAATACTATAATAATCAATACAACATAAAACACTAAGTCAATAATTCATTGTTAAAATTCGAACATATGTATACACATAGATTAATGACATATATTCATTGTCGCATAGATATGTTTCCACAGAATATTTTTAGACCGATCGAATGCTGGAAAATTAACACTAAATTATGTTTGGTTTAATATTATATTCCTATATTATAAACAAGTTCAACAAATATATTAAGAAATTGTTAAATATGAGTAATTAAAAACAATAAACTGTTAAAATAGAAAAATGACAGGATGATAAAAAGTGTTTAGCTGAACCTGTAAATCTGTTAAAAAACAATAGTTAAAAAATGTTGTAGTTTTGGAAAAGACAAAATTTTGAATAATATACTTACTGCGACTATAAAGTAATAGAACGAAGATTGAAAAACGAAAACCTACGGAATTATCGGCAATTTCTTAATCCTGTTTGCCACCCCTTTGTGATTCGCTTTGAGAAGCGAAAGACATGGACAATATGGCGATTTTAAAAGGGCGGGTACTTCCTGTTTTGGTTGATTTTAAGGTTAAGGTTTATTTGTTTATTATTTTGTATGGAAATAAAAGTACTTTATTTATATATAAATTTGTATGTAACTATTTACTTATTACAATATTTTCATTATATTTTTTCGTTACATAAATATTACATTTAATACTTATTAAATTTTATATTTTTTAAGATTACAGAATATTTCCCACATTTAACATAACATGTATTTTATTAAATACATACTTGATTAACAAATTACCAATACGTAAGTTATCAAAATATCCTTATAAGTACATAACAGTATTCTTGTTTAAAATAAATACATATATGTGTAATTATCAGTTTTAAGTATTGCTTAAAATATCTTGACAGTATTCTAGAAGGATCTCTATGTCTTGCTGATTTCGAAAATTCATTTTACACTTTTGAAGTTTATGGTACAGCAATTCTGGATGTACTTTTGCTAATTCTTTTAAACTGCCTAAAAAAATATTATATTATATTATATTATATAAATATGTTGTTAATATTATATAAATTAGTTGATTAAATTAAATGTTATTACCTAACGTTAGATTCTGGAATTCCTTTTCTGGATCATCTAAATATATTATAACTGTAGTATATAAGGTATCTATGTGTCCTTTGTTAAAATTTAAATCATAATCTTCAGGTATTGTACTCCAAAGCTTTGTTAAAGCTTCTAATGAAGCTATTCTAATATCATCGCTCCCATCATCAAGTCTTTTTAGAAGTACAGGATATATTTTATGAATATATTCTTCTGTAAGATGGTCAAATCTTTTTCGAATACACATTATGAAATACATGGTTTGTAAAGAATATAGTCTACTCTTTTTGGAATTGTCATCTGCAAGGCTAATTAAAGCAGGAATTATTTTATCAAGTGTTAAAGAAATGTTTTGTTCTTTCATATGTTTAATTTTGTCCATAATAAGATCTTTTTCATATTTATCTAGTATTGTACACAAACATGATAATGCTGCTGTACGTATAGCTTCAGCAGCTCTTCCTGCAGACCAAATTAATCCAGGAAATACACAGTCTTCTATAAATGAGTTAAAGAATTTTAAATCCATATTTTTAGCCAATGAATCTTGACTAAAGTATTCTGATAGTAAAATAAAATGTTTTAGTCTCAATTCAGCATTGACATCATTTGTCATAGTTTCTTTTAGAACAGGTAACATAATGTCCATGTTGGAAATTAAAATTTGTCTGATATAAGTTAAACATCCACAGAAAATTTGAGACTCAGGAGTATGAATTGACCATGACTTACAACCAGAAAATAATGAAGCTAAATGTCTAATGTTCTTGTTACAGAATTCATCAACATTCTCATATGAACTAATATTTGCAACAGTATTTAACAATTCTTTTGCTTTTAATTTTACAATATCTTCTTGTGTCATTGATAAAACAGTAAATATTGTTGTAAATAAATCCTGTGATATAATTTTACAATCCTAAAATTTGTTTAATTTATTAGTATAGTAGATAGCAATTTTTTATCTATAAAAAAATAAAGCAAATGACTAACCTCCTTACATATTAAAATCATGGAATCACAACAAGCTAGTATTTGTTTCTGATACATAGGCTTTTTACTTTGACAAATATGTGGTTGTTGTAAAAATTGTGCAATATCTTTCAGTAGTGGAACAAGTTTGCAATGTTCACTACCTCTTAAAATTGCTGCAAATACTTTCAGATGACCCACAGATAAAGTTTCGTCAAGAAAAGAAATTATTAAATGACAGTAACTTTTTGGATGTACAAAATATCCTATATATTCTGCTGCTCTTTCTACAGTTTCTACGACTCTGTAATCTTCATCATTACATGCTCTAATAAAGAGTTTATTAGTTAATTATAGATATATTTATTTTAAAGTTATTTTGATAATTTGTATTTTAGAAGTTAACACATTTACCTATACATAGGAGGCAAGAGTTTTCCAATATGTTGTATTACTTCTTCTTCTATATTTAAAATAAAGACACAGAGTAACTGTGCAGTTCGTACCCTAATGTCTGCAAGCCAATCTCCTAATTCTAAACTTATTCCATTTAATAATTTACTAAATGTTTGTTGTGCTATTGTGCGACAGCCTAAATTTGGTCTTGTAACTATAAAAATTAAAAAAAAAAGTTCTATATTTTATTTCATTATAAATTTATTGAAGTAATTTACCATTGGGATAGTGATGACGTTCTTCAGTAAGAAAATCCAACTTGTCTTTAAATTTTTCATTATTTTGATTTTCTTCTATATAAGACTGTCCTACAGCATCCCAAAAGTTTGCCGCTTTCTCTCTGATTGTTTCTAATTCATCATGAAGACCTGTTAATAGTAATGGAAGGATTTTATACCACCAACTGTATCGATCCCTTAATTTCAAAAGCCAGTTGCCTGCTATTTCTATAACAGCTGGAAAACATAATTATTTTAACACGTAAAAAATATGTAAACATGTAAACAATAAAACAAATAATTATGCACCTGTTCTAACAAGTCCATTTTGATCAAATAATCTTTCTGCTAATGGTGTAGCAACTTCTTCTAAAGATTTGCTATTACCATATTGAATTAAGTCACCTATTGTAATAATAGAAGCAATTCTAACTTTGTAATGTTGATGTGTGAAATTACTCAAAATTGGTTTTACTAAAATTTCTGACTGTGTGTAAAAATATCTTGATAAATTTTTTGCAAATTCAGATATACAATTACAACTTTCCCTTTTAACAAGTGGATAATTGTCTACTACTGTGCGTACTAAAATTTTTACTAAATCATCAATATATAATGCTAACAAGGTTTTGTATTTTAATATTATTGATTTTAGTAATATAACACATTTTAATCTCACTTCTTCTGAAGTTTCTATTAGTTCTGAAGAACCTAATCTTCTGGATAAAATTGGAAGTAAATACATGATATATTTATCATTAGGTGTTAAATTAATTATAAATAATCTAATAATATCTAATGCTTTATCACGACAAACTTCTGCTGAATCATTTAAAATTCTCAGTAAAACTTTATTTATAACATCCCATAACTTAAACACTTCATCTTCAGATTGTTGCAATTCTAAAAATTTAAAAATTTCTTTTAAACCCTGTATTCTTCGTTTCTTTTCTTCTGATTGTAAAATAATACACAATCTTGAAAATTCACAATTCGAAATTTCTACCGACATTTTGAAAAACTTTGTATTACGTTACCCCAATGCTAATTCAAAACTGTTTATATAGTTTACGTATTCCCATAGCAACATTTTTATTGATCTAATCACTGTAATTCAATCTGTTTACTAATTATGTATCGATTGAATATTGTTTAAATTAGAGGAAATAAGAGAAATGTTCTATGTTTTTCTTCAATTTACATTATTATTTCATATTTTAGAATAACGTATTTATGATACTCACATCCTAAAATGTATTTATTTCTTGAATACGACACATTATAAGACATAACTTTATAAGACATAGCATAGAAAGTACATTTATACAGAATTTATAACATATGAAAATCGTCAAGCAATGAGATTAAGTTAAAAGGGACTAGTACGTTTGGTCCTTCGTAAAATAAAATAAACAAAATTTAATAGATATGTCTTAAATATGGTCCCCAGCTACGGAAACTCTCGGTGTATCTAGAATACATTGTTTTTATCGTATCATTTTTAATCTTCTAAAGTGACATTTTTAAACAAGTATGACATAGACTCCTTATTGTGAATACGCCTAATAGCTTCTGCTAGCAGAATACTGATATCGACAGTCTTTATTTTTGGGCACTGCATCTTTTGAACGTCATGAGGAACTGTATTTGTAACAACAACCTAAAAGTAATAATTACAAATTTGATTTCTAAAAACAGTAATCCTTTTAATTAAATTTAGTACTAAATATTATTCTTAAACGTTACATTACCTCGTCGATTGGAGATTCTTCTATTAGTCTGGGAGCATCAGAACTTAAGAGACCATGGGTAGCTAAAACATAAATTTTACAAGCTCCTCTTTCCTTAAGAACTTCAGCTGCAGCTACATATGATTGAACATCATCTATCATATCATCCTGCAATCGATATTGTTGAATATTAATAAACATATTTTGATAACTCTATTATAGAATTTCTTCCTTTTCTAATATTTACATACCACCATAATAGCTATATGTCCACCCACATCTCCTACAACATTAATTGGTGGTTTTTCTTTTGCAGGATGCATTGGAACACCAACTCCAACTTCCATAGTTCGTGAAGCTAGAGCTGGTGGAGAATAACGTCCATCATTCATATCTGATTCTGCTTCTCTTTGTTCTCCATGAATTACTGCTATTCCTAAACGTAATCTTTCTGCATAACTAGTTGCCTTTTTCGCACTGCCAGGATTTCTTGCAACTATCACTGAATTGTGATAATCTGGAATCTAATTAAATAGTATTAAAATTAAAAAATAAAAAGTATTGTAAAATGTAAAAATTATTTTCAAAAAATTAATACATACAGATTCTTGAATATATTGTAGTAAAAATGGACTAGCACGTAAATTATCCACCGGTACATCAAAAAATCCTTGTATTTCTTTTTGGTGCAAGTCCATAGTAATTATATGAGTTAAACCACTTTTGCACAGCATTTTTGCTAATAATTTAGAGACTATGCAACCCCGTTTACGCATTTTACATTGTTTGGAATATGGTAAATAAGGAATGACACCAACAATATTTTTTGCAGATGAAGTTTTGCATGCGTATGCCATAATCAGAAGTTCCATTATATTATTATTCACATCCTTTGTTCCAGTTTGAATAATGTAAAGATCTTTGCTTCGTACGGAATCTCCGATTTCAACCATAGTTTCACGATTTGATTTATGATATACAGAGCATCCTCCATGTTTAACACCTAATCGGCTTAAAATTAAAAAGATTACATTTTAAAATCATAAAATATTTCATATATTTATCTATAGAAACTTACTTAGCAATAAGATTAGCAAGTTCTGGGTGGGAATTACCCGCAATTAGTACAATATCCGAAGACACAGGTTTATCCATGTTGTAATTGCTTTTGAAAAATAAAATAATAAACTTAAGTCTATGTAAACCACTACAAAAAAAAACTAAAAAATGTTGTTTTATAACTCGACTTTTATTTTAAATGAAGATAAATTATATAACTGGATAAACAATGCATTACTATATTCAAATATAAGTAATTTAGATAAATACCTTAGAATTTGCGATATGGCGATAATAGATTAAACATTTATATTAAATTATGTATTACAAACTACTTCCACCTCTATAATCTAGAGATTTTCATTTATCTGTATGCTAACGTTTTTGTAATCCTATTAATCAGATATTAATAATTATTTGTTTAAAAATTTTTAATTATCGCTTGATTTAATTTTCAGGTTTGGTTTATATTACCCTTGCCGAGGGTATTTTACTTGCTCTGTAACAGCTGTTTAATTTCAAGAGTACCAACCATATAAACTACACTAAACAATAGGGAATCTCCCGAAGTTAGCTGAATAGTACAAATTGACTACGATCCATTTATGATCTATCATACTTAGAATGAATAATACAAATATAGTTGTTTGTCTTTTTTTTCAATAATGACTCGATCACGAAATCAGTTTACTCAGAAATTAGTGTAAGTCAGTCAATATAGTTTAAATATTGGTTTTAAACATTGTCTATTTTTAATTTTTAATGATTTTTTGAGGTTATGTGTTTCTAATATAATTTAATCTATCTTTTTACAGTCACAAGTGATCTGTCAGATTTGAAAGGATATCCAAATACTTCCAGTTTGTTACTATGAAATAACAATTCATAATAGTGTAAGTATTTTAGCATTAAAAGTTGCATAGTAATCTAATTATAATTTTTATCCTTCATACATCTTACAGAAATCTTTATTTTATGTTTATAAATAATGGATTAATATGTACAAGTGGGTATTAGGTAATTCCTTCTAGAAATATAATAGAAAATATAGAGTAAAACTTTTTTGTCTGAATCTTAGATTTCTGAAGAAATCAAATTTACAAGTCTACTTTTTACATATGTAATTACAGCTGAAATAAAATTCAGCATATAATATATAATGCCTATCCTATTTGCAAATAACAATTCTTTCTCTAGAGAGATACAGATAAGTAGCTACTGACATTTTACGCCCCCCCATTTTTGTTTTTGGAATTATTATAGATAACATTTATAATAAAGATATTGAAGACCTAAATAGATTATTAACACATTAGTTAATTAGTTATGTATTCAAAGATTTAAAAAATGATAAGACATTAAATAAAATAGACATTAAATTTAACAGTTCTGCAGTTCATGATACAATAATGTTTATAATCTTTTTTGAATCTAGTAACTGTTAAGTATAATATATTTATTGCACATAGATATAACATTTGTATGTATTATTTGGCTGTACCTTGCATAATAATATTTATGAATTATGTACATAATTATAAACATTTATACAAATTAATCAAAAATTTTGTATTTATTGTAATTTATATTATATTATGTGTATTACATATTTTTCAGAAAAAATGATGCATACTACAAGAGCCAATACTTCTGAATGTAGATTTGAAATACAATGTAAGTTAGAGGCCGAACTTGCTTCCTTAGAAGCATTGAAGGAAGCAGAAGAACGAAGTAGGAAATTAACTAGTAATGTTGTTGGAATTTTATCTTCTTTGGAACAACGTCTTGCTACATTACGTCGTACTATACTTCCTGTTTATAATGAAACAGGAACCCTTCAGGCACAGCAGCAAAGTACATATTAAATTAATTAATTAAAGAAATATTTTTAGTTATTACTTTCAGTTTAATTGTTTTTCTTTGTAGATATAGAACGAACATTGAATGCTTTAGATCATGCTATTGGTTACTATGGTGTCTCTCAGGAAGTAGAAGGAACAGTGCGAGCAGGTCCTGGAGGATCTGGAGGTTTAGATAATTTCTTGGAAGCAATGAATCGTCTCTACAATGCTCAACGTTATTTTCAAAAAAATAATCCTAGTTCAGTAGAATTAGAAAATGTAACAAGTTTATTTGTTATTGGGCTAGATGCTTTATATGCGGAATTTCATGATATTTTAACTAGGCAAAGTAAACCAATTCTTCCGATTATTCTTTTGGATTTAATTGGTTCAGACGAAGACACTAGTGGCGAAGATGCCCCACAATCTCTATGTCACCTGCCAGAAAGTGTTTTAGGAGATTTACTTAAAATTGCAGCATGGCTTGAAGAAAGAGGACACCGTAAACATGTAAAAATTTATGCATCCGTGCGATCCGCTATTGTTTTAAGATCATTACAATTATTAAAGGAACATCAGAGAAGTGCTAGCGGTGGTAGCACGCATGCAGGAAGTCCGTTACCAGTAAGAGTTTTTGTAACAATATACTTATTTCCTATTTTTTATCATTTCAGTTAAATTACAATTTACAGAAAACAAAATTTGGCAATCGACATTCACTAGGAATTCAAGAAATTAGTGGGAGAAAAGCTTCTAAAAGATTGCAGCATGCTCTTGAAAAAAAAGCTAGTAGAATGTTATTGAAAGCTTCTCAAACTACTGGCTTAGGATTGTCCTTAACTGCATCTAGGAAACCCCCTCCACAATTATCTGGGTATTCTGTAGAGGACACAGCACCAGATGAACAAGAAATGGAAAATTATTTATTATTAACAGTTGGCCTTCACAAACTTATGCAAGCGGAACGATCGTTGGTTGCCAAGATTTTGCCAACCACTTTGCAAGCACAAGTTTTGGAAGCTACTGTGCGTGAAGCTATGGACCTTGTAGCTCATGATGGAGAGAGCATAGCAACTCGAGCTAAAAGATGCATTGTAAGACGCGACTTTTCAGCGGTATTAGTGATCTTTCCCATCTTAAAACATCTTGGAGAACTAAAACCAGATTTAGAACGTACCGTAGAGGGCTGTGATTATGCTCTTAGGTCAAAATTTACTTCTGTGTTGAATACGCTAAACGTTACCGTATGTCATAATACACTATGATTTTTAAATGCTATTTTAATGTAAACTAAATTTTAATATTATATATCTAAACTAATACAGGGAGCGAAAGCATTAGATGATTTTGCAGAAAGTGTTCGAAACGAATCTAATTCGATTTTACCTAAGGATGGTACAGTGGCAGAAAGTACAAGTAATGTTCTAGTCTTTCTGGAACAACTAGCAGAATATGCGGACATTGCAGGTGCTGTCTTGAAACGTAACATTGATATGGATAGTACTTCATCTGCCAAACAAACGGAAAATATGTACAAAACTGTTTTGGGTAGTTATATTAGTTAGTATCAGTATTTATTTATATTTGAAGTAATTATTATTAACTATAAAATTCGTTAACATATTTTATTTTTCTTTTTAGAGAAGGTATTAGCACAATTAAACTTAGTGCTTGTAAATAAAAGCGACACTTCATATTCAGACACTGCACTACGAGCTCTTTTTCGCTTAAATAATCATAACCACGTTATAAATGCTCTACGTCGTAGTTCTTTAATGGATCTATTACTATTAGCGGAGCCTAATGCAGAACAGACATATCATGATCTTTTATTACGTAATAAAGCCTATTACGTTTCTACTACTTTTGCAAAAGCTCGTAGTTTTCTCGAACAGCCCTTTGATGAACCAGGTTCGTATTTTGAAATTCAAATTCACAGTATAAAATAAAACATCAGCTTTTTTGTTACTGTACATATAAAATTTATCATTGTAAAGTGTAAAAAGATTCATGAATTTTTTTGTTATTCTTATAGAGCCAGCAGCTAAAAGTTTAAAAGAAAAGTTTTTAGGATTTACAAGAGAATTAGAAGAAGTTGCAAAGTGTCAGCGTTCATATTCCGTACCTGATGCTCGACTGCGAGAAGAGTTACGAAAAGAACTTCAACAAGCCATCGTTCCTCTTTATACAAGTTTTCATAATAAATATCGCGGAATTTCATTTTCCAAAAATCCAGCTAAATATATAAAATACACTCCTGAACAAATATCTGTATTAATTGATACATTCTTTGACACGACAGCATAATAAATAAATACAAAAATTTAATAAACACCCATTTAATAAAGCATATTTAGTTACAGTATTTATGATACTTTTTATGGACTGAATCCCCATTCCCCGGATAGATTGCACAGGTCAGTGGATCTGCAACGATTGAAATAGATCTCGGTCCAGCCCCACTTTATATATATTTATAATATATATATAAAAAACAAGTAACGTTCAATTTAGATTTAGTAGCTTATACATGTAAAATGATAATAATAGGAATACAGTTTGAACCATTTATGTACAATTGTTTGCTATAGAATAATTCCATCCTCTGTCTTTATTTCTTGGCATTTATATGCATTCTTTTAAACATTCATTCACACTTATTAATTTTCTCCACCTCTGATGTCGAACTTTTATATTTTATCTCTTTACCCATGTTGTGCGTATCAATTACAGCAAAAATGCAGCAACATGAAGAAACAGCAGAAGCAGAGAATTAAAATCACACTTTTATCGCTCACTTCTAAAACTTACATAACTATCTTATACCATGGTATGTATTTAGTAATATCAACCAATTTAGTTAAAGGTGAAAATCATTTTATGTTATTTGCAACTGTATATTTACTACAAAAGTTAAAATTGTATTTATTAAGTAGTAAATTCCATATCAAAATAATACTTTTGAAGAAATGTTCATTATAATAAAATACTACTTTAACCAGAAAAAGAAATTCTTGAAATAAGTTTAATGTTGGAATATTTTTTCATGTTAATTTTTTAACTATACTGCTTTTTTGTATACTAACATTTCAGAAACGAATAAATCTTTTTGATTCAAATATACAATGCAAAATAGCATAAAATGGGTTACCTTTTGTATTAAATTGATTAGTATCCAGTGCGTACACAACTGCACATACATTATAATGCTTAGTTCCTTACAATCCGTACGTAATAATTATATTAATAACACACTCTAATATACTGTACATTATCAGTTCAGTTTTCATTTGGCTTCCTTCCTCTCTTCAGAACATTTAACTAATGTCCAAAACACTTAAATTGCGTATATGTTCTCCTCAATTTTTTTATACGCAATATAAAAATTGATTTGTGCGCTTTTATGGCAGATGTTTGGAGAGAGATGGACCGTATAAAGGGGTTTTTTTAATCAAAATTAGATTTCCTGCTGCAATCGAGTCCGATCGGAGGAGGGATAGTACACTTGCACATGCTCCACCGTCGTTGGACATTTAATATTACAGAAGGAAACATCTACGTTTTGGTTTCACTTGAAGAACAGGACACAATACTGCACGGATCGCTTCATCGAATACTGTTTTCAATCCTTTTTGAGTTAGAGCTGAACATTCTAAATATTTCACAGCACCGATCTCTTTTGCCATTGCTAAACCCTAAACATAAAATTTTATAAAATTAAAATATTATACGAAAATAAATACATAATTAATGAACTGAGGAAATACATGCCTGAGGGTATGTGATAGGTGCCAATTTTTTATCTTTTAATCGCTCAATCGTTTCTTTATCTTCACGCAAATCTAGTTTAGTTCCTACTAAAATAATTGGAGTAGCTGGACAATGATGACGCACCTCCGGATACCATTTAGCACGAACATTTTCAAAACTGGCCGGGTTAACGAGAGAAAAACAGATCAAAAAGACATCTGTTTGAGGGTAAGACAAGGGTCTTAATCTGTCATAATCTTCTTGGCCTGCTGTATCCCATAGGCCAAGATTTATCGGTTTGCCATCCACCATAACATTCGCAGAATAATTGTCAAATACAGTTGGGATATATTCTCCAGGAAAAGCATTAGTAGTGTAGCTTATGAGGAGACACGTTTTACCTACTGCTCTGTAGAAATTAACGAATTAAACAAAATTAAACAGTTCGTATAGAAATTTGGTATAATCTTCATAAACTAATTATACATTTTTATCAATGTTTAAAAATAAAGAAGTTACAAACAAATTCAAATACAGGCAAAAGAAAAAAAAGGGGATAACAAATGTGTAGGAAACAGATTAAGGTGATCAATTATCTATAAATAGTTCATAACTTCAAATGGATAGAATAATTTTGGTGCTTAGTTAATTGAAAAGTGAAGATATGCACGTTTAAAAGAATAACGGGTGTGGTGCTTGCTTTAAAATAGTTCTTAATCAGGAAAAATCCAACCACCAAGGGATACTCTGACGATCATTCAGATCGGGTAGTATGAATCAGAGACAGGCAAAACAAACATATTAAAGGAACATCATAGAAAGTTTGAAAATACTCACCCGTCTCCTACGACAACGCACTTAATGGCCTGCATCCTGAAGGTTGGAACCGTTCTCGAGTAGAAATATCCACGTAAATTTGCAGGAAGGGAGGCTAGTTCGATTCGACAGAGCAGGAAAGATCAAGAGGGACAGAGAAGTTGAAATGTCGTGAAATAGAGAGAGAGGACATAAAGGAAATAGGTGCAAGAGAGATAAATAAGTAGTGTCAAAAGTAAGATAGAAAAAGATCATAAAATGAGGAGAAGCATAGATCAGTGAAAAGAAGGGGTACCGAGAAATGAAAAATTAAAAAATAGCTGCGTAATAGTATAACAATTAAAATGAACAATTATGTATTGTAACGTGTCCTTGTTTTGTGATAAAAACGCAGTTCGAGGATCTTTCGTTGAAGACGGCACTCCTGACCTCAATATGTGGCCTCAATTTATGATCGCGAACTGAAAGTTTTTTTATCTGGAAGGATCAAAACGGTGCTTTTATGAACACGAATGATCATAACCAATTATATTATATACTTGACTTATTAACTTTATTTCGAAAAACATATTTAACTTGTTACGTATGTTCGAATGAAACATCAGTATGTAATTAATAGTTGAAATGATAACCAATGTAGTAGGTTTTAAACAATTTTTACAAACATGCGTTAAGTTAACAATTGTGGATGTTGTTCTAATAAAATACGGAAATTTTATGATATACGTTTGCGTAATATAATTCGTAATATAATACACTGATTTTTAAAGTTTTACGTTAAAACAAAAATATGTATTGAATAATTTACGGTCCTGTGTAATTCCTACCGATCAGGTAACTAAATACTCGGGAGTTGGAGTGCTCGTCATAATTCGAACTTCGATTCGAGAACCGGATATGAGTACTCAATTCGAATATCCGGACTTACACATTTGAATTTGTAAAATGAGCAATATAGTAGAATAGTAAAGACGTAAAACAACCAAAAAGGCAATGACAAAATAGTTTATTGACATTATAAAAATATGTTTAATATAAATTCAGGAAATAAAAAAACTTGCATGTACATATATATGTATGTGTGTGTGTAAAACTAATTTCTTAATGATTCATTACGTTTAACGCATATGTTAAAAATCATGTTCAAATCCTTTATAAAAATAATAAAAATATGTGTGATTAATTAAGAAATGCGGATGCTATTCTTGCCGATTATTGTTATCAATCCATTGTCTTGTAATTCCCTTAGAGCATCCTCAAACATATCTCTGTTAATCAGCTGAAATAGAGATAATAATTATTCTTAGATCTTCTATGTAATTACTTGTACATTGTAAACATTTATCATGAATTTTTACTAACCAGTTCGGAAGATTGTCTTATTTCAGCTAAAAGTTTCTGTTGGTTAAGTATATGAACTTTATCCTTCTTTTCAATTAATTTTTGAATTACATCACATAACTCCTTCTTCCTTTTTCTAGCTACTGAAGATATACCTGTAGTTAATATGCTTATATCTATTTTACCACTTAGAGGATCAATAGCAGATTGCTTCAAAGCTTCTCTGTGTAATCTATAGAAACAAATTAAATATTCAGAATTAATAGAAGTTGTTGTTAACATTACTTTAGTTGCTTACAGACCTCCATGCTTCTTCAACATCCTGTGGTTCGACAATAGAACTTAATCGTACTTTCGCATGAGCTTCAGCTAATCGTATCAAAGATTCTAATTGTCTGGGATAAGCTGTAATTTGTCCACGTCCTCTTCCAACTCTTCTCATGTCAACGTAAGCTTGTATTAATCTCTGTTGACTTTCTTCATTGAGAACGGGATGAATATGTTCCTTTGCAAAAACTAAATAATCACGAACAACGTTTTTATCTATTTGTTCATCTTCGGTTTCTTCTGTCGTTTTATAGTATAAAGACACCATGTGAGATGCAAGTTTACTATCATACGAATCACTTTGTGGATCTAACATTAAAAAAATGAGATCAAACCGAGAAAGTAGAGTATGTGGTAATCTTACATTTTCAACGACCTAAAAAATATAACTATAATATAAATGTCCTATTTAGTATGAATATTTCCAATTACACAATTGTTAAAAAAGTGAATTCGTTCAAACTAACTTTTATATTTCGTATACATACTGTTTTGTTTTTATTCCATTGAGATTCACACGGATTAGCAGCAGCAAGTATACTAGTTCTAGCATTTAACTGACAAATAATTCCAGCTTTAGCAATACTTAAAGTCTGTTGTTCCATTACTTCATGTAATATTGATCTTGCATTTTCATTCATTTTGTCAAATTCGTCAATACAACATATTCCATTATCCGCAAGTCCTAATGCGCCTGTTTGTAATATTAGTTGCTTGGTTTCTGGGTCTTTTGTTATGTAAGCTGTTAAACCAACTGCACTAGAACCTATAATTATTATTTATATTAATAAAACTGTACGAACAAATTTTTAACTCCAATAATCAATATTTATTTTTATCTTATTATACCTTTTCCACTTGTATATTGAGATCGGGGTACCAAGTTATAAACATATTGCAATAGTTGTGATTTACTTGTTCCAGGATCACCACATAGTAGCATGTTTATATCAGGTCGAAAATGTTTACCATATACAGTAGAGGATTTTCGAGTTCCACCAAATAATTGTAATATAATTCCTTTTTTTACATCATCATTAGCATATATACTAGGAGCAATTTGTTTTGCTAATTGTTCATAGATATTACTCTTTTGTGATAATGCTTTCAAAGCTTCGATTCTTTCTGGTGTAAAATTGTGTTCCTTACCATCTTCTTGATTATATAATCTATGAATGATTTAAAATAAACGATTACTAAAGACAAATTTTTAAATTTGTTTAACATAAATTTAAATATTTTTTCTTACCGTTTAGAATCTTGCTTTCTAAAATGGACTACATCAATAAATGTTTTGTAGATAGCATGTAAATTATGCTCAAAATTAGGTTTATGTGTTGCTGCTCTATAAATTCCAGTAACAGAAACTCTGTCTCCAGGCATAACTGCATCTACTAAGTTATTATGTGCAAATAAAACAATAGTATAAGGAGTTTGTCCTTGTGGCATTTCATCAGGAGCTTCTTGTAATTTGATCATTTGTTTATCAGAAAAATGACTTAAATTATGTACTAAAGTGAAAGAGTATTTATGTGTGCAATGTGCACATACTGTTGGTTCTTTAGTTCTTCCCTTTTCAATCTCAACAAGAGTCGTAAAGGAACAAACGCTACATTTAAAGTAAGCTTCTCGCATTTGCGGAATTAATCTTGAGACTCTGATCACCATTCCAGGTATTGTAATCAACTGATCCACATCAGTAGGATCTAATTCTCTCATAGTTTTAATTTTGTCTACATTGAAAGGACGCACTTGAATCTGGTGTTCTAAAACTGCTGCAGGAAATTTTTCAAAGAACAATTCATTTGCTGCCATATCTAATGTTGGTATAACTTCTTGAGGGTAAGAAACTAATTGTTGATAAAGATGATTACTAAAAACTTTTACATGAGCACAATTAACATTCAAATATGGTTCTTCTAAAGTATGTATTTCTTCTAATTTCTGAAGATATAACGGTTCTGATAAATTCATATTTTCTGGTAGTTCATCATTTTCTGCTTCAGGATCAATAAATTTTTGGAAAAATATTTTAAATTGCTCTTTACATTGACTTATAACCACATTTGTTCCCCAAACAACTAAATGAGGTCCTGCTGTATCGCTTTCTGATGTTCTTACAGCATTCGGAACTTCTGGAATCTAATATAATTAATGTTACATTGCTACTATCACTGTCACCATTAATAATACAGTGAAGTCTTGTTAACTGACGTTATATAGAGCTGTAAGAGCAAAAATATGGTAAAAAGGACCATTTAAACATAACTCTTTCCATTGATGGTAACTTTAGTCTCTTAGTCAAATGCAGCTTAAAAAAGATTTATATTGTTTTGTATGCACTATAGTGATAGGGAATCACCACTAGTAAGTATCAAAATCTTTCTGAATGAGAACTTACAAGAGGATTACATAGGAAAGTGTCACTTAACAAAACTCTGTTGTATTATTATTACTACTACTGCTACTAATATCATTGTTATTACTGCTTATGTTTCAATTGCTTACTGGATCTTGTAATGGAAACTGTCGTAAATGCCGATCCGTATTAATGTCAGGTCTATGACGAATTGGAGTACCACGTATTCCACTTCTTGGAGTACGAATTGATCCTAGGGAACTAGGAGTGCCATAATTAACTGGCGAAGATAATTGTAAACCACTTTCTGATCCATTAATTTGACCAGAAGCATCATTGGAACTGAATGCACTTTCATGTTCCGAAGAAGCAACAATTGTAGCTGGTCGACTTCCAGATTGTAAAGGATTTTGTCTGGTACCACTGGTGCCCCATCTTAATGGAGTTTCTACATTATTGTCACCTTCATTTCGAGTTGCAGCACCTTACATGCAAATTTCATGAAATATATAATAAATAATATTATAAATATATAATATTAATGGGAGAGATAAAGTTTGATTACGATTAATAAAGGAAATGTGTTCTATTTAATATTAATATAAATGTAATATTATAATTAATTTTAACGTGACAATAAAAATTTAAAGGAAAAAAAAAGAGTACTTACGAGGAGTACGGGGAGTACCAAAAACAGAAGGAGACCGTGTAGCTTGTCTTCTAGGAGTTCTCCGTGGACTATCTGCAGCTGGAGATCTCATAGGACTTGACATGATTTCTTAGATATTTTTCTAATTTGTAACAGTTCAACAGAAAGCATTAAAGCTACTTTCCCGCGTTTCGAAAGTTTGATTGGAAAATGACTCCAGATGGCACTTATGCTATAAAACTATTGTGAATTTCCATGGAGACTATCACATTACTTGTTAAGACACATCCTCACTGAGCGACTGAACTTGCAACACAAACTTTTATTGGGTAATTAGCGAATTTAGAAATTTCAGATTTTCAAATTGACTACGTTTCCATCGAGGGTTCAAATCGGGTCAGAGTCGGGTTAGAGTTGGGTTTGAGACGCGGGTTGGAGTTACGGCAGGGTTGAACATTACCAACTGCACAAAGTCAACTACCATATTCTGACATGTAAAGGAGAGCAATATTAATTTTACAATATCAAAATAACATACAAAAATTATTTCTCAGATTACAAGATCACCGACAAAAAGTAATAATAACCTCTTCTACACCAATTAATACAGCACGTGATACACAATGCAATTTGGATTTGTTATGTTGGCAACACGAACTCGACTCTTGTCGTTTCCACCGAACCCAATTGAACGCTACCCTAAAATTTTGTAGGGTAGAGTTCAACTAAACCTTTGGCGTTTCCACCGTACAAGCGCTGACCCCAACCCGACTCTAACCCGACTCTGACCCGATTTGGACCCTCGATGGAAACGTAGTC